CATTTCAAAACGCTCGGTTCCGCCTGTGTGGACTTCAAATGACTCACCTTTGAAGTCTGCATCCTTCGGAGGATACAGCCTCTGAAATAAGCCAGCTACAGTCTTTGGTGCATTAAGTTGTTAGAGCAAGGGTCTGTTCTTTGTATGTGGATTACTCAGTTAGCTGGATTTGGTTATTGATGATTTGACATGATCCATATATATATGTTATATATAAGTTGGCAATAAAACATTTGCATTCTGAATAAGGTAACTACCTATAGAAACTTTAACATAATAAAGTTTGGTATACTTACCTTCAGCGTACCCCCTCAATCAAGTTTGGTGTTTAGTGTTTCATAAAAAATGTTTGGGCACCATGGTTTAAATTGATGTTCTCAATAATGTCTTAACATAAACTTCCTTTCAGCAACAGTTAATAAAAAACATGTATAATAATCATAGTTTCAAATGCATTTTATCCATGCATCAAGCATAACTTTTATGCTATTTATTGTTAATACAACATCATACAATACATGCCAACTACAATCATTATATGCTATTGGGTTGCTCAATAATGCTTAACTCTTGTGAAGTCTGAATGAACTCTGAGTGTTATACAAGTTGTTTCTATTAAGTTCCTTCATGGGAATATGTCATACAGGTTTGTAATGACATCCGGAAGAGAAACTAATGATTTGTGTGTCCTTTGCTTTTAGGTATGAACTGAATGGAATGTATTATTTTTAGAAACCTACAATGTAGTGTAAATCCGGTTGCTATATTTAAATGCTTACACTTTTGCGCATTTGGTTTAAGTACATATTTAGATGTAATTGCATAATTGCACATATTTAAAAAAGCTAACTTAATGTGTCAAAGTGAGTAGTTCATTAATATTTACTTAATGTAGTACTGAATAACGCAGCAGATAAAAATGATACTATAGTCTAATATAAGTTTACTACAAATCTGATATACATACTTATGGAGGTATTCTTTCTTATAGCCTTTATTTATTTATTTATTTTTTGTATTGCATTATAACACAAATGGCAAGGCAAAATTTGATTAACTTTCATCTACATTTAAAGAACAGAGCACACATTAAAATCATATCAAAAAGATAAAAAGAAAAAGGTATTTCACTCCAAATAAAATCTTGTCCGTATATCTACAAATAAAGCAGATTTGATTTGTTTTATTTATTTTTGTACAGAAATATCATGCATAATAATTCTTTAATAAAAAACACCTTTCAACATGGTCGAAAATGGAGTCGGATGAAGCACCAGTTTATTATTTTCTCACCCCATTACCACACCATTACCACATCATTCCTTTATTACTTCAAATTATTTCTTCCTTTACTTATCTCTTCTTTTTACATGAGACACGTGAGCTTTGCATATTTTATCCTTTTGGAATCTTTGACAAATTATATGTTTAATTCCATTTGGACATTTACATTTTATTACACAGACCCCAAAAAATACATAATACTGCAAACAGCCACCTTGTTTTATACAATATTGCAACAGTTTTTACTAATTTTGATGTCACATTATTTATTTGCTGTTTCTAACTAACTTTATGATCCAATACAACACCAAGAAACTTAATTCCATATACTCTTTCTATAACTTCATTATCAGTTTTTATTATGACTATTTTTTAATTTCCCAAATAACATAATCTTTGTTTTACTTATTATTTAATGACAATTTGCTTATGTCAAACCACAATTTCAGTTTATTAATTTCTATTTTAATCAACTCCATAATTTTTGGTAAATTATCCCCAGAACAAAAGATACTTGTATCATCTGCAAATAAAATAAACTTAATCAACTCTGATATCTTACACATATCATTAATGTAAATTATAAACAATAGTGGACCTAAAACTGATCCTTGAGGTATGCCACAATTTACATTTAGATTATGAAGATTTATGGTTGCCAATTTCCACAAACTGTTGCCTATTTAAAAAAAAAACTGCTTATCCAATCCAAGGCTACTCCTTCAATACCATTACTTTCTAATTTATTTACCAATATATTACGATTTATTGTATTAAATGCCTTCTTTTAATCTATAAAAAAATCAAACTACCTTCTTCGTTTTATCTATCTTATTAGTAATTTCCTCAATAATTTCTGTTAATGCCTGATGTTTATCTATTTTTCCTGAAAACCATGCTGCTCATCAGCTAAAAGGTTATGTGTTTGTATGAAACTATTAAGCCTTTCATCAAAGTGTTTTTCCAAAAAATTTGAAAACTGAGATAGATAAAGTGTGTTATTTATATTGGTGATCACATTACTAACCATCAGGGGCAGACTGGCCATCTGACAATTCTGGCAAATGCCAGAAGGGCCGGACCATTTTTTAAATGTGGGCCAGTCAGCTATTTTTTGTATTGTTTTTACATGTATGCAGCTTTTATCTCGTGCAAGATGTGAATATTATCATGATGATGATAATAATAGTAAGAATAATAATAAATGTTAAGCATTTGCCCAATCGGCAACGACCGGTTTCGAGATGGGCCGACCCAATCTGAGGTTATGCAGACGTAATCAAAATCTGGCAAGAATGTCAAACAAGCAGTAAGTGCAACACAAGCTAATTGTCAGAGATGGACCATAAAAAGGGAAAGGCCAGACATTGCCAAATACATAAAATTAACTGAACTAGTCTGGAAATAGGGCAGTGCGGTGGCGCAGTAGGTAGTGCTGTCGCCTCACAGCAAGAAGGTCACTGGTTCGAGCCTCATCTGGGTCAGTTGGTGTTTCTGTGTGGAGTTTGCATGTTCGCTTGGGTTTCCTTATGGTTTCCTTCACAAGTCTAAACACATGCTATAGGTGAATTGGGTAGGCCAATTGGGAATTGGGTAACCCTGTAATGGGTTGCAGCTTTGAGGGCATCCACTGTGTAAAAACATATGCTGGATAAATTGGCGACTCCCAGATTAATAAAGGGACTAATCCGAAAAGAAAATGAATGGCCTGATTGCATATATAAATGGGTTGTTATTGTTCCAGTCACATACATTAAATGTTTTAATATATCTTAAATAGGTACTGCTTATATAATTTTACCGTCTCTACACCAATATAAGTAGTGAATGTGCGTGTCCGTGGGTGGGGCTGTGTCGGTGTGGTAATGTGGGCTGGTATGGCTACAGTGCCAGGGCTAATTTTTAGTCCCAGTCCGCCCCTGCTAACCATCATTGGAAATGCCTTCAGAATAGATTTCAATATCCTATTGTATTGCGAATGATCAGATTCAATGTTATATTTTTTACAAAAACTTTGGTGAGAATCTCACCCTCTTTGTCTAAAAGATGGACAACCGGCCAAATACCTCTTTCCCACCAATCTCTATAAAAAATAAAAAAAAATCTTATACCCTTTATACATGGTAAAAACTAGCATTTAGGCTTGTTGATGCGAACAAAATATTTTTCTAAGTACCAATCGATAGATTTGCTCTTCATTTGCTCTTCAGTGTTTGGACTTTGATTGATTGATTGATTTTATTTGACAATTTTAACAAAAATATACAAACAAATCTAGTTAGACTAATTCATACATATTTTAGATAAAATACACACAAAAAAGCCACATGCATTTTCCATTGTGGTCCTTGATATTCTTAAATGGAGTGCAAACATCATCAGCTCAGCAACTCTGCACGACAAAATCCTCAACTTCAACTGTAAAACAACAATTTTTAATTTCTCTTCTAAAAACACTCAATTTGAATCTCTTTAAAAATCGTGGGCAAAACATACCAAGCAACAGAGCTAGTACACAAAAAAGAATTGCTACCTGATTCACTCTTAAATCTATAAGGATAAATATCAATGCTACGTGCTCTTGTAGAATGACAGTGTACCTCACTACTAAAACATGAGAATTAAGAAAATATTTGGGACCATTTTCTTTTAAATCTTAAACACCATTACTAATTTAAAAAAAAATGACTTTTAATTACTTTGACTATAATGTTCATTATTTAAATGTGTCAGTGGAGGTACTTTCTTAACAATTACACAACTTATTTTGGGCTGTCTGCAATTTATTTTTCATTTTATTAGAACTACCGCACGATGAACTTTCAGCAGTGAAATTTAAACCACACTGAACTGAACTTAAACTCTGAAAACTGGACTGGCAGTTTCAGTGTACTAACTTAAGCTGCTTTGACACAATCTACATTGTAAAAGCGCTATAGAAATAAAGATGAATTGAATTGAACCAAGATCAGCAAGCTGCTTTAAGTTACTTTGGACTCAGCAGTGTTGTTAGAGTTTTTCAGAAACTACCAGAATTGTCGCACAGCCATCTCTTGGGTTTACAGAGAATGCTCTGAAAAAGAGAAAACATCCAGTTAGTGTCAGTTCTCTGGATGATAATGGTCCGTTTACGTTTTGGTTCAGCTGTGGATTCCAACCCTAATTAAGTGAACAGTGGTTGTATTAATCCCTGTATGTTTGGAAACTAAGCTCAACAAACCCACATCTACTGTATGTGGGTGTGGTGTCCACGTAGCACAGTATATTGTCAACTAGGACTAGTAGCAGGATGTGTCTATAAATAAAAAAGTGCTTCTAATAGGGGTTGGAATGTTTGAAGTATCAATAATCAACTAGTAGGCTAAAGTAGGGTTGTTTCCACAGCAGCAAGACTTCATTTGGATAAACAAATTTTCTGTGCCTGAAAACGCAGACATCCAGCGTGCAGTCACTACAGTGAGTAGAAACACAGAAAACTAGGTTTAGAAATATGTAACGTGATTAAAAATAGAAACTTAAGAATCGAGCGAGAGTTAAACCCTCGCTCCAGACTATCTGCCAGCAGTGGGCGGGGTTGAAGTTGTCTTGGTAGCGTCGCCAGAGGTGGAGCAGAGGTTGGAGTAAGTTATAAGTCCAGGCTGCTGTGTGTCATTTAGTCTTTGGATCATACAGCGACCCGCTCCTCTTATCTTTTCCACCAGACCCTTCAGACTGCATTCAGCTTGAAAGAAAACACATTACAACGATGTGCGGTACGTGCACCTTTTTATTTATTATTATTATTTTAATTATTATTATTATTATTATTATTAGCCTGCTTAGTGTATGATTTAGTTCGATTATATTTAGTTGTCTTTATGAGACTATTTGTCCTTGTATGTAAACGTGTGCCAGCGTCATCATGTAGGCTAGTCTTAATGTAAATATTTGACTGTTCATCATGTATTGGAGTTGAGTGACAGATGAAGTGACAGATCCGGTTTGGAGCGCGACAGCGGTGGTGTGTCAATACCTAGTGAGCGACCTAGCTAGATGACATTTCTCAGAAGCATTGGCTTTAGGTTTGGGTTTGAAATGCATAGGTATGCATGCGGTTTAGGTAGCAGTGTAGTATATTTTAGGACACGTCCAAAACGCAATCAGGATCCACCACTTTCAACCGACGACGTGGCTAATTTGTAATGTGTTTAATGAACTGTGTGTTAGATTTTAATGAAGTTCCTACCTCAAAGTAATTAAGTAATCTCTTCTTTGGATTTGGTCAGTGTAGTAGCCTAATGAAAATGACTGAATTATAGAAATATCTTTCTGAAATCTTATCTACCTTAAATGTTTGTAATGTGTTAAATTTAAAAGTTTCAAATTGTCAACTTCCTCATGTTTACCTGAATCCTTACACCGCTACTTTTGTATTTAGCGTGTTAATGTGATTAATAAACACAATGTTTTTAATATTTTACATAGTTACATAGGGTGTGTGCATACTTTGTATTGTAGACTAAACAAAGTGAGAATGAAAGCTTTAATTCTGATCCACTTTGTTTTCACGTGGTCTTTTTTGTTTGTTTTTTCTGGACATGTAGGCTATTGTGATGCTTACTTAACATCCAAAGCAATTCTAAACAAACAAACGCTGTCACACAAATAGAAATATGCTGTAAGGTGACTTGTGTTTTAAAATATGTATAATGAACTTTTATAGGAAACACAGTGACTCTTACAAAAAAAAAAAAAAAAAGAAACATTTAACTTGGTATTGCTTTCATATTTCACCGGCACTGTAGCTGCTTTAGTCTTATCGTTGTTTTTGGATGTCAGCATTCACACTCATTCAAATCAACTGCACTACCAAAGCAATCACATCAGAGTTATTTTTTTTTTTTTTATAATTAGCCAAATGTGAACACACCCATTCACTTTTTCTATAAAACAATTTCTTTGAGCCACTTCAAAATATCGTAGCAGTTGTCTTGATGTACTACAAGTGTTTCTGCTCTTTCCAATCCTTGTTACTTTGTCTTTGGCAGGAATTTTCGCCTACCTGAATTACAGAGTTCCACGAAAGAGGAGGGATATCTTTGAGACACTTGTAAAGGGACTTCAAAGGCTGGAGTACAGGGGTTATGACTCCGCAGGTAAGACTGACACTCCCACTGCTGTAAGGGGTAATGTCAGCGTGTCCCGCAGGTAACAGATACGCCTCAAGACTGGAACAGTGGCCTCGTTTCTTGTATGTTGGTAGCACAGAGGGCCTGGAGTGTCAGGTCGTCCACCTATCAAGCGAAAGCAGTCAGTCGATACTTGTGTGAAGGGGATTATTTTGCTGTTAATCTTTTTTTTTTATATGCACAACCACTCATTCAGTATATATCGGTGGATTTTAAGAGTAGAGTTTAGAATGAGAATTGGCCATCTTAAAATAAGGTGGTCAAAAATGAATAAAAAAATGTGAATTTAATATTAATAATGAAATATTTTCCAAGTGATGCTTATGGAGCATAGGGAAGTATTTCTTATATTATTCTTTTCTTCTTGAGAAAGTTTTATTTCTTTTAGTTTGGATGGAATAAAAACAGCTTTAATATTCTTTTAAATATTTTTAAGGTCAATATAAATACGTTTTTCTATTGGCTACAGAACAAACCACTTGTCCAATGACTTGTCTATTTAACCACATTTACATATAGATTAACTAATTAAACTAGTCAAGCCTTTAAACGACACTTTAAGCTGAATACAGGCATCTTGCAAAACATTTAGTAAAATATGATGTACTGTTATCATGGTGAAGACAAAAGAAATTAGTTTATTAAATGTTGAAAAATGAGTTGAAAAAAAAATTCTCTCCAATAAACAGCTCTTGGGAAATATTTAAATAAGTTACTGAATAGAAACGTACATACAGAAAGCATTTGATCAAAGTGATGTGAATGTGTTTGCACAAACTACAATTCAGCAGCATCATAACGATAGATGAGATCATTAAATGACATAAAAAAGGTCATGTGATTTTGCATCAACAGAGGATCGAATTTTAGATAGGCCATAACCAGTGCATGGAGCTCATCACACATCATCTCAGATATTCTTGTAATAATCCTGCAAATACCTGAGTGAAGGTCCATCCTCAAAACCAATGTGATAAGTATCTGCGTCTATATCAAGATAGCCTAACGGAATTTGTTATTGTGTGTGTCATTAGCCTCTCAGTTGTTCAACTTATTTACTCTTATAACAAAAAGCTGAAGTGATTTCCTTGTTTGGATAAACATTAGTTTTTGGTAGTATAGAAGGTCTGCATGTGACGTCTCTGTCAGCTGCATGGCTGTGGTTCCCTAATCTGATGGCAGAATTTGTTTACATGTAATTATCCATGTAAAAAAGGGAAGGGAAGTTTGTCTGAACAACTGTACCAACCAATTAAACAAGAATTAGCTTATATGAGATCATTTATGAAATAATTTACATTCTCATATAAATTCTCAACATTCTTCTTCTCATGTTCTGTATTATTGAAAAGTTTTGTCAGTCAGCCTTCATAACAACATCCATTATTTGATAGTCTTAAGGGGATAGTTCACCCAAAAATCTAAATTTACTCACACTCAACTGTTTCTAAACTTTTATGAGTTTCTTTCTTCTATTGAACACAAAACAAGGTCTTCTTGAGAAGCAGCCATTGAAATAAAAAATAGGACCAAAAACAAAATACTGTGAAAGTCAATGGCAGTTTTTTTCTGAAGTATTATTTAGATGTCTACCTTTGTGTTCAACAGAAGAATAAAACTCAAACAGCTTTGGAACAAGTGGAGTGTGGGTTAATGACAAAATTTTGGGGGACTCAACTATTCTTTGAAGTGACAGTGTTGGGGATTTAATTTTGAAAGTGATGCTTTACAATATTGAGTTACTGCTCAAAAAAGTAGTTGTGTAACTTAGTACATTTTTATGGTAAGTAATGCGTTATGTTAATTATGAGTTGGACCAAAAGAAATCTGCAGACATTTTTACTGTTACTCTGAGAACTTCCTGACGCTATATATGCTGTATATACAGATTAATAAAAGTGAAAGTAGCGTGTTTGCTACTTTTGTACTATTTGTCTTATTATTTTAGTAAAAGGATTGTCCATTGAGACTATCCCCTTTACTTCTATTTGTTCAAAATAATGAGAATATTTCGATCACAGAAATGTAGAGAAGATTATAAATGGACATCTAATCCAGCTCCAAGTGGGTGGGACTTGAGCTCCAAGTGGATGTGCCTTCAAGCTCCATGTGGGCTGTACAAACCTGGATTTTTTATGTATTTACAGTTTTCCTCAGTGGCTTTGGTGCATATCTCACAACACTTGAGTCATTACTTACAAACATGTTGAACTAGTTGTCAAAATCATCAATTTTAAATTTTATAAAAATGTTTAAATCTTTTTTTCATAAATGATTTACAGACCTATGTATGTTGTAGGTTCAGTTCCAATATATACTGCAATATTGTTTACAGTTGTGCACAGCTCTACCCAAAGGAAATTTATGTTTGTTGTAAATAAGGGTGTATTTTATTTATTTATTTTTATTTATTTTATTTATTTATTAATTTGCACAATGCTGTGAATAAATTGGAATTGCAAAGAGAATCTGCAGTAAAAATACGAAATTCATCTAAAAAGTAACACGTTACATTTGAAAAAAGTTTATTATTACTAAATATTATTACTTCATTTTTTGAAGTAATGTGTTACTTTACCCTTTACTAAAAATAATATTATTATGTAACTCATGTTACTTGTAATGTGTTGCCCCCAACACTGGAAGTTGCAGTATGGCACAACAAACACAATAATAAATGTACAAGTACAATTTACTTATAATTGCAGATATAGATAGATAGATAGATAGATAGATAGATAGATAGATAGATAGATAGATAGATAGATAGATAGATAGATAGATAGATAGATAGATAGATAGATAGATAGATAGATAGATAGATAGATAGATAGATAGATAGATAGATAGATAGATAGAGAGAGATGGATGGATGGATGGATGGATGGATGGATGGATGGATGGATGGATGGATGGATAGATCAGATTTTTATCTTTGTCATGACAACTTGACATAACCAAGACAACAAAGCTTTTCATAAATCCATCATAAACATGAAGCCATTATAAGTATGTCATGAACTTTGACACCTTCATTAAATCACTTTGATTAACTCCAGGTGTTTTTAAATGTAATATACAAATGAATACACTGGTAAATAAAAAACACACATTTGTCTTGTTACTTTAAATGTGAGTTTAAATGTGGGTTACTGTCAAATTAAGAAATTGAATTTATGCTGATAATTGTCAGTTTCACAGGCATTTTTTTTACATTCAGCCATTTATTTTTTTCTTTTTACCACTCAAGCGGGCATGTTCTCCTGCAAAAATGATGTCAATCATACCTTCTGTCATCCTAGTTTCCCAGGATGTGTACACATGGGACAGAAACTGCACTTTATTCAAATATTTGCTTTTGCTATTAATGTTTCACTGCAGAAAACAGTAGCACTTTTGAGATTCTTGAGCATCCGTGAACATTCATGAACAATCTCGGAGATCTGAAAAGTTCTTATTTTGCTACAAGCTGAATTAAATAAGAAATTAAAACCCTTTTTAAATTAGAGATGAAGAGAAAACTGTATATATAATGTTGTTCTTTAACGTAAACTGTTTTTTTTAATGTCAGGTATTGCAGTAGATGGCCCTGTGAAAGATGACGAAGCTAAAATCTGCTTATATAAGAAGACCGGGAAGGTGAAAGCTCTTAATGAAGAGATCTACAGTATGTTAAAACTCTTTTATTGTTTAGTTTTTCTTTAAAATGCTTCTTGCAGTGATTCGTTTTCTCTCATATTTCCTTGTTTGTCTAATCAGAGAATGACTCCATTGACCTCGAAGCAGAACTTGACACACACTTTGGAATTGCACACACGCGCTGGGCGACACACGGAGAGCCCAGTCCTCTCAACAGCCACCCTCACCGATCCGACAAGAACAACGGTAAAATATAAAGACAGCATGAATATTTTGACAGCATATACACTGGGTAGATTTTGGGTCAATATGAACAAACCCATTTAACTTCTTGTTAAACACGCCCAACAAATTACTGTTGCTAACTCAGACAAACAAACAGAGTTGCTAACTGACTTAAAATGACAACTTGAAAACCTAGTCCTGGGATGGTTTTATACATTTCGGCAGCAGAATGACCACTACTCTTCAAGGAGCATTCAAGTGGGAGTTAAATACACCTTTGAGGAATGTATGAAATATGTTAAGTAAATGTGGTGGATAGCAAGATTACTTTGGAAGCAATTTGTCGCACAACCTCAAATGATCAACCAGATTAAATACATTTACATTTAGCAGCTTTAGGTGACATAAGCAGAGTTAAATGCATTGTTGCTTAAAATTAATTCTAATGTATACTTGCTGATCTTATGGATGTTACATTTTATTGTTTGGATTTAGGAAATGAAATAATATTATTTGGATTGCCCATCCTCTTAAAGCTGATTTACTTTGCCTGGCGACGCGTTGAAGAACTCCGCTGACTGTGCGAGACAAAATGGACGAGTCTTTAATACTTGACACGTTCACCATTGGGATGTTCTTTAAAGCAACAGTGGACAGTTTAGAAACCCACTGTAAAGTCAGACGGATAAAAAGAGAAACTAGGAAGTTTCCGGAAACACGTCATATCATTAATTTTGTTCAAGATTTTTAAACCAGTTATTTTTATTATTTTTTATAATTATTTGAATGATTATAGGGATTTTTATGACCATTCAACATTATTTAAATCAAACTTTGATGCATCACTTTTTTCGTTCATATCTCAGACAGTTCTACCTATTACAAGTAAATCTCAATGACAACAGAACATGGGTTGGTCTACAAATATATATAAATATATTTATAGGACTCAAATTAAATGCCGCACCACGCAAACTGCTTGCTCGATTTGAGATTTTGTGAGCTCCGTCAGCCAAAATCATGTCACGTGCACCCAAAGCGAATCTTCGCAAACACTATGATGGCGTCACGTTCGCCAAGCAACCTAGCAAATTTGTCAGATATAAACCAGGGATTATGATACCTGGAATCAAGTACCTCATGCACATTGTTTAACCAATTGTGTGGCAAGAACACCATTAAACCAATAAATTCTTAGAATCTTCCTATTTTTTTCGATGGCAGTGAGATTTATAAATAGTAAATAAATAAATAGATTGATGGGCTCAAATAATTTTGAGCCTATTTAAACATTGAGTCTAGTTATATACTTATCTATGTAAATATATATTTATTCAGTTTTTATATTATTTCAGTAATATTATTGACTAATATGCAAATGTGTGTATGATTTATTTGCAATAAAGTTTGTAAAGTAAAATGTTATGTTTTTTAGATATATAGTATCTAAGAGACTTGCCTTGTTTACCAAACAAGTAGTTTTAATTGGATTTGCATTGTAAACCTTAAATAAAAGTAAAAAAGTTATTGTTTTAGGTTTTTAGTTACTATACCCTCAAAATCAATCCACATAAATCCGCAAAAGTTTTCCTCAGAAATAGCACAACATTCTCTCTGGCTCTAAGGTAACCCAGCATTAGGGTTTTGTCCTCATTTAACCCAAAACTTGGATGAAACAGCCAGGCATTTCTTAGAGTGTGAAATCATCTGGTTTATTTGTTAGCATTACTAAGCCAGCAGTGGCTGCTGTCAGTTTATGAACTCTTTATGCAGTAAAACAGGACTAGTTAGTTGACACAGGCTTTAAAGCCATTAGGTTTGTTTGTAAATAAAAGCCCACAATGCTGTGATTGATTGGCGGCTCAGATGTGAAAGTTCACCTTAAAAAATAAACACCTAAGTAGGGGGTGGAAACAGACAGCAGGAGTTCCTCTCGCCACACAGGTTGGAGTGCTACTCATTCGGGTTCAGCTTTCTTCTGTGACCATTAAAATAGAAACAATACTACAGGCATTTGCAGTGAGGTTCAGAAGTCTGTAATTTGCATGATAATCAAGCATGATTTGTAAATGATCCAGAAAGCATAATGCGGTTTAATGAAAAGCGTTACAGTTTGATTGGTGACCTGGATATAATGTGTATTCCAGGTTATTGTATTATGTAACCTGTGTAAATGTCTATTATATAAGTGTATTCCAGGGTTCATTTAGAATTATTAAGTCACTTGTATAGTTTTTATTAAAATAAAGTATAATGTTATGAAAGAAAATTTACAAATAAAATGTACTTATAATTATAGATGGATGGATGGATGGATGGATGGATGGATGGATGGATGGATGGATGGATGGATGGATAGATAGATAGATAGATAGATAGATAGATAGATAGATAGATAGATAGATAGATAGATAGATAGATAGATAGATAGATAGATAGATAGATAGATAGATAGATAGATAGATAGATAGATAGATAGATAGATAGATAGATAGATAGATAGATAGATATAATATAATAATAAATAAGTATTTTTAATGTTTGTTCAAGTAAATCTGTAATATCATGAAACATGGGCGTGTTTAACCTCTTGACAAGTACTGAGCTTTCAATCATAACACAATAGTACTTATTTAGTTACTACAAAACACAAAGATCAGTTTGTCCAACACCAAAATCAAAAGCCTGCAGACTCACTTCCATGAATGGAGGTTATAAATAGAAATGTGGGCCAGCTTACTGCTATTACATTGTACAAGTCTGCCAAGGTAAATGGAGGGTCTTCCCCTATAGAGTTTCACTCCACTTAAGTTTAGGCTACAATTCAACACACCTCAACCTGCTGATCAAGATTTTCAGCAATATCTGGTTAAGCTTGGTAGCCCTCCAGGAAGATAATTAACGTTCTTTTTATCGAAAGAGATCACTCACACACAGACATTTGGGAAATATTTGAAAAGGAATTAAACTTTAATTCAACTCTCTATATTAGGGGTGTCCAAACTCGATCCTGGAGGGCCGATGTCCTCCATTGTTTAGATCCAACTTGCTTGAACACACCTGCCTGGAAGTTTCTAGTATATCTAGTAAGAGCTTGATAAGCTGGTTCAGCTGTGTTTGATTAGGGTTGGAGCTGAATTCTCCAGGACACCAGCCCTTCAAGACCGAGTTTGGACACCCCTGCTATCCACTTGTTAAGTGTGACATCACACGAAGTGGCTTCCAGGTTCAAGCGCTCTTACCCAACTGTATGAGAAGATTCATGAAATGTTAATAATAAACATTCACAAAGCGATTTAATACTTTCGAAAATCACGACCGCAATATACATTTCCATGCCTAATATCCGATGGCCAGAAAGTGATTAATTTTTTTTACAAATTATTAAAATTTGGTATTTGTAATGCAACAAGCCCAGAGATTGTTGTGGACACTGTGACTTTATATAAAATTTACTTTAATGTGTGATATGAATAAAAAGTGATCATAAACAAACAATTTCTCAACTCAAATAAGAGGCAGCTTGGACCCCGAAACAGTACAACATACGTCACCAACACGTCACCACTTAACAAGTGTATATATACATACATATTTTGCTACAGTGAATTTATTCATCCTTCTGTTGCTTTTTATACCCCTAGAGTTTGTTGTCATCCACAATGGCATCATCACAAATTACAAGGAGCTGAAAAAGTACCTGGTGAGCCCTTCTTTCAATTACCTCTTCATCTGAGCCCTTTCATTTCCAACTTAAATTTTTTATTTTGAGAAACTTAAAAAAAGAGGAGAGTAAAATGTTCTTGAAACAAAATATTGCAACGTAAACTTCAAACGGCCAGAGAAACCCTCAGAAATAAAGGTACAAGAGCTATCACTTTTCAAAAGGTACACATTTGTACCTAAAGAGTCCATATTGATACCTCAAAGGTATATAATTGCAATGATTCGTCACAAGGATTGGGATCCATCTTGCAGGTTTTTATTAAGCTTGTGGTCAAACAGGCAGTGGTCAGGACGGGCGTACACAGTGAAGCAGGATAAGCAAAATCGTAGTCAAACAACAAGCTAATGGTCAGGGCTGGCAGCAAACAATCAATGTCTGAAATACAAATTAACAGTCCGAAGGCAGGTAGCAAACAATCACAAACAATAGGAAGGCAGAGTCACAACAGGAAGGCAAAAATAGGATATAAGAGCTCCATATTGTCATAGGAGTTGATAGGAGTAAAGTACATGTTGATAGGAGTAAAGTACATAAGAAGGGGAGTTTCAGTACGTGCACAACAGCTGATTTTCACAACAACAACACAAACACATACGCAGGGGAGATCGACAGTCACTACGTTTACATGGACATCAGTAATCAAATTATTTGGCCTAATCTGAATAAGACAATATAATTATGATTAAGGTGTTTACTAGAGTTGCTGTTTGGATGTTTCTCCTTTGATCCTGTTTTACATGTTATAGCACATAGTTCAATCACGTCACCACGCTATCCACATTTCCTCAGAAGTTTCTAGTAATTTTGGGTTTTATTTTTAATTAGTAAAATCAAATTTTTAAATCCGGATTTCACCATTTGCAGATTCAAAAAGCTCCCCGGTAAAACATTTTCCTTTCAAACATATCGTTGTTGCGTGTTAGCAGACCACTGTAATCTACACTGTAATCTACACATGTGGGTCCACACTCCGACCAATTCTTGTACTACTACTTGTTAGAATTAAGGTTGACAACACAACTTGACGTCTTTCTGAACACTGTAACAGGTAAAAAGAGCCTTTGAAGCTCTATCATACATATTAATGAAGTTATATCTCGTTCACAATAGAGCACGCTGATTGGTATAAACCGAGTCTGTCTCATGAATTAATGAACAGATTTGCTGAAAACTCAATGACGTCACTTTGCACCACCCGGTACAGACAGCCAATCTTCACTCTGAAATTTACACAATGATCTCATCGCCGTGATGTAGTTTCAAAACTTCGTTTTAAACCAGAAGGTCGAATTTGCTCTAAACAATGCAAAAACTACCAATTTTCACTTGTTGGCTAAATATATGTGTCCTAATAGTGTCTTTTAGCAACGTAGGACACATATATGACTGTCAACATCTCAAAAAAATGCATTTTGGTGTTTCATGACCCTTTAAAAGCATCGTGAAATGGGCGGGACATGTCAGATACTAGAATACATTTGATTGGTCAGAAGATTTGATGAGAAACTGAAGTATGAGGTGATGTAAAAAGGCAGAAATGACAAACTGCAAGTTTGAATCTTCTAAATGTGAATTTTGTCAATGCTTCGTAGCAAACTAGCTTACAGATATCCTTAAGACTAACATACTGATACTAACATCTAAAAAACATTATTTTGATTTAACAGAGACTTTAAGAGTGCACAGTCGAGACATGAAAAACAATTGTCCAAATCTGACCTTCTTACGTCATAACTTGTGTTATAATAATTTCTTTGGGTGCAAACGTAGATGGTGCTTATAAGGAAAATACATACAAAAGAAATGCGTGGTTTATTATTCATCTTAGTGACGTTCATGTCTAGTGGTGCATTGCACAATATCTATAAGCAATGAGTAACCATTCAAAACCAATAAATGTTCAGTACTCCACTCTCTCTCTTTCACTTTCATTTGTCTCTGATTCTTTTTTCTGCCCCTTTTCCACAAAAGAAAAACATGTTTTGTTTTACTTGACTGTAACCATGGCTTTTTTCCCCTCCCAACCCATTGACAGGGTTCCAAAGGCTATGAGTTTGAGTCGGACACAGACACGGAGGTCATCCCTAAGTTGATCAAGTACCTCTATGACAACCGAGAGAACGATTATGTGTCCTTCTCCACCCTAGTGGAGCGCGTCATCAAGCAGCTGGTAAGCATCACGAGTGTGTACGTGTGTGTTTGAGAGTGTGTACGTGTGTGTGTTCGGGGTGAGGGGGTGGTCTTACTCACATGGCTCTGGAAACCCCTTGCTTGGATTGGGGAAGTTAAAGGCCAGTTCTTGCTCATTTTTTATCCCTCTAGAAAAACATTTTGAGTGCATTTTCTCTTTGATTTTCAAGCAGATTTCAGTAATAAATGGAGTATGGCATTAAACGCTTAGTTCACACTGAAATGACAATTCTATCGTCATTTACTCAACCTGATTTTTGGAACACGAACGAAGAAAGTTTTGATTAATGCCTGAGAGATTTCTGTCACTCTGCTTCAAAACTTTTGTAAACAAAAAGAAAAAAGAAAAATGAACTAATTGAAATCAAGTGGTTAAGTACAAGTCTTCTAAAGAGACAATCTTTTATTCACATAATGACCAATGTTTAAGCATTTAGATTTGGTCAATCATCCTTGCTTGACATATAAGAACCAATGACTATCATTCTTATATGTGTTGTCATTCTTACATAGTCTTATATACAGTACATACTAGTTGCATGTCAAGCCTTTTGATTGGTTGAGCCTCTGCTTTTGTTGATTGGTCAGTGTTTATTTGTGAAAAGTCTAACCTTATAAATAAATGACACATTTTTGATGCACCTTGGACAAACACCACATTTCAAGTGACTAAATTGAATTAGACTAATGGTTGCAAGTTTATTGTCTTGTCTTGTCTCTTCTTGTCTTGTTGTGTTTTGTCTTGTTTTGTCTTATCTTGTCTTATTTAGTTTTGTTTTATTTTGTGTTGCTTAGTTTCATTTTTTCATATCTTGTGTTTTGTCTTTGCTTGTTTTGGTATTTGTCTTGTTTTGTTTTGTTTCATCATGTCTTTTGTTTTGTTTTGTCTTGTTTTTATATTTGTCTTGCTTTGCTTTACTTTGCTTTGTTATGTTTTGTTATTTTTTGTTTTTTTATGTTATGTTATGTATGTTTTACATTGGTTTGCATGAAAAGCCTCAGACTACTTTGTTGGTTAGAAATATCCAACATTTTCATTCTGTTGATTGCTATGCGGGCAACACGCTGGCTTAGTGGTTAGCACTGCTCCGGTTTCCCCCACAGTCCATGCACTATAGGTGAATTGCATAAACTAAATTGGTCATAGTGTATGTGTATGCATGTGAGACTGTATGGGTGTTTCCCAGTGATGGGTCGCAGATGAAAGTGTATCCACTGTGTAAAACATATGCTGGATAAGTTGGGCGTTCATCCTGCTGTGGCGACCCTTGATGTATAAACAGACTAAGCTGAAGGGGTGAGAATTGGTGAAATTGTAGAAATGTTTTGGTCTCCTAATAATATTTAGGCCATAATTGTGACCCTCTAACTCGTCAATGTTTAATTATTACAGTCAAAGTTTGGTTTTCACTGGCAGTTATATGGGCTAATTAAACTAATCTGCATTTGTTTTAGAATGAAAAGCCTCCTCATCCACACTGCATTGACTTTGCACACTGATGCACACTTTACAGCCTAAAATGCATGATACGTAACCATTCACATTCAATGGGCTCTCAGTTTTGGTGCAATCAGTTCTTGCAATTGTCTAGTTGTGTAAAAAAAAAATCAGCGAACAATACGCAATAGTCCAGAAGACCAATCAGTGAGCGATTCTACACCTCTGTTTTCAGAAGTTTTCACTTCAGTCCATCTATAATGGAACAGGGTCTTTAGCATTTTCAAAACCATTTTCGCAGATCGAAATGACCTTAAATGACCTTGTTTTATGGGTCTTTGCGAGCACCTTTGGACTACTCTGAAGGCCATAAAATCCTCTGCTGGGAAGTTCAGCTCAATCCAAACATGGTTCAGTGGCATTGTATGAGTAAGGGAAGTGCCCTTTGAGATATTCTTGACAGGAATCTAGATTTTATCATTGGTTTATAAAACACAGTGCTTTGCTATCAGCATAATAGCCGTGTGACAGTCCCTTTTTTGACCGTCTCTATATAGGACTCTGCCTGTTTTATGGCTTTCTCTTTTAATTGATACACTAAATTTTGATTGCTTTCTATCTAAACTACCTAAGCAGCCAATTTAGTAATGGAAGGCTAAGAGATAAAGGGATGATAAGGTTTAAGGTGTGCAGTCATGTCTTATTGGGCGGCTGCAGGTTTCTAAGCAACCTCCAACGCCAAAGGACATTAACTGACCTGGTTTTGAGAGAAACGAGAAGAGAGAAAGTCTAATTGAAAACAGGCCTGGGGTGCTTTGTGCAGTTAACTGTGCTAAGACAAAGACTTAACAATAAAGGTTCCTGCTACAATAACAAAAATTGAAGTCAAACCTTTTTAGTTACACTACCTTTCGTAAATAGAAACCAGACGCAAATGTAAAAATAAAGCACCAAAGCTGAGACCATTTATGTGAAGCTGTGAAGCTGCTTTGACACAATCTACATTGTAAAAGCGCTATACAAATAAAGCTGAATTGAATTGAATTGAATTGAACTGAGAGGCAAAGGAGAAATTCATAAAACCTTTAATTTCACATGTAAATGAATATCAAGAAAAGCTGTAAAAATGCTGATGTATACATACAGTTGAAGACAATATTAGTTTTTTCAAATTTTTCCTAAGTGATTTTTATATAAGCAATGCAAATAATTTTGAGTAATTCAATTTTTTTCACAGTATTAAATGTTATACTTTTTTTCTGGTGAATGTCTTTAAGTCTTTATTTACTTTAAGTTTGGCTTAAATAAAAAGTCAATATTGGTTATAGGTCAAAATTGTTTAAGGGGCTAATAATATTGTTAAAACATAATATATGTAAAAACTTACTTTAACTGTTTTTCTGAACCCAAATGTTTCCATTATAGTGTAATTATAGTTTAAGCAAGTAATGTAGATCAATGTAGTGATTTAGGTAAAGGTTGCACGTTGGAAAGCACGTCGACATAAGAAATCTCCAAAGCTAGCAGTGTGTCAAAGTACCTATGTTATAGACTTTATGTGTAGACAGCAGTGTGTGTGTGTGTGTGTTCCTCTGGGCAGCGAGTCGGGAGAGGCATATATGAGTTACTCAGCACAGAAAGGGCCCCTATTCCCCTCAGATCAGCTCTCACTGTGGGGCTCTGTTACTCTCTGCCCCCTCTACCTCTCTAAGCCTCCACTCCAGGTCTGATCCTGAGATGAGACAGGCCTGAAAAACCCAAAACCGTACACTGTAAAAACAAAGGAATAAAAATAATAATTTGATTAAAAAATAAATAAAATAAAACAGCAAAATGCTACTCTATAAATTAGTTATATGGTTTAACAAACACAATCTCTCGGCAATTTGCTACTTTTTGATTTAGGGACTAATTCGGATGAATTTGTACAATCTCATTTGTACAATTTAGTATGATTTGCTTGTACTGCAATGACGATTGGGTTTAGGGGTGGGATTTGGTGCCTCCTTTTTGAAATCATACATTTTCGTACAACTGAACATAAATTAGCCACAAAACCAGGGGTGCCCAAACCTTTTGTTATGCAAGGCCAAAAACCAAATTTGATTGAGGCTAGTGGGTTGAAGTTAAATATAGGTTGGGTAATTTACCATGGGCAAATCTAATGGGTGAAAATTTAAATTTACAACAGAATTACTTGATTTGCTTGCAAATGTTTTCTGCATTGTCCTCTATCCATCGAGTGACAGTAACTGCATTTTAAAAAATCTGATTCATTTACATTTAATTGAAACCTGTAATTTCAGTTAACAAATGAAAAAGGTTACGTCAAATTAGAAATGACGATCTCTGTGTTAAAGTCATTTGCCTCAAGCATCTCCTCCATACTCACTCTCCTCTCAGATGGGATGGTGGGCCAAATCAAAGGTTACAATGGGCCAACTTTGGCCCGCGGGCCACACTTTGGGCATCTCTGCACTAAACTGACAAAATGTTAAAAAGTTTCCTTGTGAGATCAGGCTGGGTTTAACAGTAAGTTTTACTACTAAATATGATGAATAATCATAAATTGACATTTACACTTTTTATATTTTGCTTATTTATTTCATTTTTTTGTCAACATTACTGTGTTTCTAGTTTTCGTTTCATCAGTTACAGTTGAAGCTGAATTATTAACCCCCCAGTTTATTTTTTCCCCAATTTCTGTTTAGCGGAGAGAAGATTTTTTCAACACATTTCTAAACATAATAGTTTTAATAACTCATTTTTAATAACTGATTTATTTAATCTTTGCCATGATGACAGTAAATAATATTTTACTAGATATTTTTCAAGACACTATATGCAGCTTAAAGTGACATTTAAATGCTTAACTAGGTTAATTAGGCTAACTAGACAGGATAGGTCAGTTAGGCAAGTTATTGTATAACAATGGTTTGTTCTGTAGACTATCAAAAAATAGCTTAAAGGGGCTAATTATTCTGACTTCAACTGTATATACATTGGAGTTTTATGTTACTGTACATCTGATGTTGTTAAATGTTTATTGCAATATAATCTGTTTGTGTTGAGCTTTGATTCACAATGTGAGATTCTCATCATCACCTGCTTTTGATGTACTTGTCTGTATTGCAAAGGTACGATCAATGAAATATGGAAGTCAATTACAGTCAAATTAGAAATGTTACTATTTACATATGCATGGTAGTTTTTTAGCATCACTTTTGTGATTTCTGTAGTTTACACTGTAAAAAGCAATTAGTTGACTTTATTATAAAAAAGTAAGTAATATATTTTTTTTTATAGTAGTGCACTGTACTGTGTTATGTTGTCAATTTATGTTGTTTGATGTAGCACCTTGGTCCTGGAGAAACATTGTTTTGTTTCACTGTGGACTGTACTGCATATTGTTAAAATGACAAAAAACCCAAGTTGACTTAACTTACATTGTTTGTAAGTCAACTTGTTGCTTTTAAGGCAATTGGTTTACTTGTTTTAAATAACTGATCACTTTTTACAGTGTACTTATGTTTGTTCAACAGAACAGTAATATGTCTATCTACAGTTGAAGCCAAAAATTTGTAGCCCTCCTGTGAAATTCAGATTTTTTAAATATATATATATTTGCCTTTTATCAACTAACAATTCTGTCTTTTCCATAATGACAGTTCATAACTTATTACTAGTTGTTTTGCAAGATATTAGTATTCAGCTTAAAATGCACTTTTTATGGCCTTAACTATGTTAATTAGGTTAACTAGGCAAGTTTAGTTAATTAGACAAATAATTGGACAACAGTGATTTGTTCTGTAATAAAATGGACCCCTAAAAAATGATGTAACCACGTTTTAAAACTGCTTTTATTCCAGCCAAACTAAGAAATAAACTTTTTTTTTATGCATGGAAATTAGGGCTGCACAATATATCATTCCAGGACGAATATCGCAATGTGATCTTTCGCAATAGTCAAATTTCAAGTTTACCATATTATAATTTTGCATTTTGTACGTGTTTTTGAGGCCTGTGACTGTGTAAGGCTTTTAAAAGCATTCAGGCATGAAAATATTTACCGTTTGTAACTTTGAAAAATTAATAATGATTAAATTTTTTGAATTATTTATAGAACAAAGAATATGCATTATTGTTTTACATTTGATTACTTAAATATTGTATACCTGACTACATTTCGACTCTTTGGAAAACAATAAAATGCTGTTTATTAGGGATGTAACAATATAATTTTTTGGCGATATCGATAACTCTTTGATTTTGGAGACGGATAACCGATATATCAGCCGATAAATATAAATATTTAAAAATGCTATATTTTTATACAGTAAATAACTGATTTTATTTTGAAAACTTCATAAAAGTTTGATCTGATCTTATAAACTGAATAGCCTACTCAAAGTAAAAATAAAAAAAATCTAAATTGCAAGCTGATCTTATAGAGAGTTCTATACAATTACATAATCTGCTTAAAGATATCAGCCTAATTTTGATATTGTACCATTAACAAAAACATAAAAATTATCATATATCAGCCTATATCGATATGGCTGCCGATATATTGGTCATCCCTACTGTTTATTTAATTTGCATATTTTTCTTTATTGAATTAATTAAAATTTTTTCTGCTTGTAGATTGTTTCCTTTTTTTATACACTCCCCTACAGAATCATCCCAATCAATCTAAAATTATAAACTCTTTCCAAACAGTTATTCAACTCATCTAGTGAAATTGTATTCATATTCAATATATATCGTAGAATAAAAAAATATATAACAATACAAATTTTTTTCTAATACCGTGCAGCCCCAATGTGTATCATGTAGTTTTTATGTATGTCTTGAGCTCATGTATGGTCATATTCTGTCAGATATATTTATTTTTATGCCATTTTAGTAATTTTAGCACTTCATTTTTTTACATAGACAAAATGATTGTTGCAATGACGTGAGCACTTTGTAAATTATGTTGTACTTGTGACAATGATAATAAAGATCTATTCTATTAAATTTTTTTTAGAAACAATATTATAGGAACTACTGTAAAAATGGCTCTGTTTAGCATTATACAATCACTTGGGAAATATTTGAAAAATGATAAAAATTTCACAGGAGAACTAATAATTTTGCCTTCAACTGTATATTTCTAACATAGCGTTTCATAGCATAACATTTGTCTCATTCACTATCGTTCTTCCCTCAGGAAGGAGCATTTGCTTTGGTTTTCAAAAGCATTAATTTCCCAGGAGAGGCTGTTGCCACCAGGTCAGTAAAAGCTCATTTTATTTTTCCATTTTTGTAATACATTCAGGTTTCCTCGTTCCTTTCTTTCATGCCAGTGAACAGGAACCCTAAGGTTATAACCTGCTGTCATGAAAAAAAAGTTTATAATGCTCACAATTTAAAGACAAGGAACTAGGATTCTTAAAAAGTTGCTTCTGTCAAGGAATCCCGGAACTAGCAAAGGTGTTTATGAAGGGGTTTTTCACCACGCTTGGTTGGTACTCTGACTCTATATATATAATTTTGAGGCCAAGACTGAAGTTAATTATTCCCATCTGCCCCGCTGCTGATTGTAAACGAATGCGTTGTTGGGTTTTTCTCGGTCACTTATGTCCTGCGGTGAAGGGAGCATTTTAAGGCAGGCAATGTTGCAAGACCCATCAGTGTGGGTTGCTCCACAGACACTAAAATGCTTTCGTTGTTTTTGAACCATCTAAGAGAGTTTTTGGAAATGTTTTTCATGGAATATTTGAGGGGGGTTGTTGCTTGGATTATTCGTGAGTGGTGTTTTCTTAGGGATTTTCAAATTATATGATTCCACAGACCCTGAGATACAATGAGGAAAAAGTCTTGAATGGAAAAAAGAAATAAAATAGAATGAAAACTGATAAGTGTGGTAATATACACAGGCTAGGGGCAGTATATGTTTCTAACGGTATGATAACCTTGGAAAAAAATATCACAGTTTCACGGTATTGTGATTACTGCTCTGAAATATATTCTTTTTAAATGTCTGGGTAAATATCTAAAACTTTTTTCCCCTTTAAACACAATAAATATTATTTTGAGAAGCATTTAAAACATTTTGTATCAATAAACATGTCAGGCTAAATTCAAATGACTAATTAACTAATTCTGTCTTCATTAATTTCTAAAACACACATTTCTCGACAATTTAAAACTGCATCTTTGGATATCCTTTTTCCTGGAGATGCTGTTGTCCTAAAAAACCAAAAAAGGAATGTAAAAAAATCTTATATACAGCTGAAACCAGAAGTTTACAAACACTATAAAAAGGCACATAACCATTAAAAAAAGTCAGATAATGTGACTAAACTTTTTCTGTTTTAGGTATATTAGGATTATCAAATTAGTTTCTGTTATGCTTAATAGCAGAATAATGAGAGAGATATTGTTTGAGAAATTATTATAACTTTTCTTGAAAGTCAAGTTTACATACAATAAGATTATTACGCCTCTGAAAAAGCTCAGATAATGGTGTTAAGGCTTTGGATGTTTCTGATTAACTAATTGACAACATTTTAGTTAATCGAAGACACAACAGTAGAATAGTATTTAAGGAAAACCACAAACACACTGCTTTCTTGTGAGACAACATGGAAAAATCAACAAGCCAGAATCAACAAAAAAGCCAGATTTAACAATTTGCTAATTTGCACGGGGAAAAAGAATCATTTTTGGAGACATTTCTTGTGATCTGATGGAACTAAGATTGAACTTTTTGGCCATAATGACCAGTGTTACATTTAAAGGACAAAGGGGAAAGCTTGAAAGCCTATAGAAACACCATCCCAACTGTGAAGTATGAGGGTGGCAGCATCATGTTGTGGGGCTGTTTTGTTGCAGAAGGGACTGGTCCACTTCACAGCATAGATGGCATCATGATGAAAGAACATTTTGTAGAAATACTGAAGCAACATCTCAAGACATCAGCCAGGAAATTTAAACTTGGCCACAAATGGGTCTTTTAAACAGACCATGACCCTAGGCATACTGCCTAGTTAGTTAAAATGTGCTTTAAGGACAACAGAGTGAATGTATTGAAGTGGCCATCACAAAGCCCTGATCTTAATCCTATAGAGCATTTGTGGACAGAGTTGAAAAAGCTTGTTCAAGCAAGGCAGCCAATAAATCTGACTCAGTTACACCAATTCTGTCTGGACAAAAATTCCTGCAAACTAATGTGAGACGCTTGTGGAAGGATACCCAATAAATTTGACCAAAGTTAATACAGTTTAAAAGTAAAGCTAAAAAAATACTAAGGGAATGTATGTAAACTTTTGACTGTCTAGAAATTAATATTAAATAAATAAATGTAAAAAAATTCTCATTATTCTGGCATTTAGCAAATGTAAATCATTTAGGTAATCCAAACGGACCTAAAATAGTAAAAGTTTAGTATGATTTACCATGAGATATATTATTTAAAAATGGTTATGTTCCTTATTTTAGAGTGTTTGTAAACTTCTGGTTTCAACTGTATATCATAGGAACAGTATAACAGAACATTTTGGCTGTTTTAAAACCTTGACTTTTCCAAACCCTGGTATACCTTAAAAACGGTTATCATCCCCTGGCTAAATGTACAGTTAGTATTGACATTTATATTGTCCAAAAGCAAAAGTAATGTTTTGTTAATGTTATTCCAAACCTAAATGATTTTCATCTAGAGAACACAAACACATTTATGTATTTCTTTTTTTTTTTCATGCAATGAAAATCAGTGGAAATATAGATCCTGCTGGCATTTATTGTATGAAAAGAAAACACAGGAACATAGTTCAGTATAATGTTCGTTATGTTCTCCTCAAAGAAGAGAAATATGTATAATAGTTTAGAATAGGGCTGCACAATATTGGAAAAATATGACATTGCGATATTTTATTTTGCTGGGATTTATTTTGCGATATGAATGCAATTTCTGCAGATGACTTGAATATCTCTATTTGGAATTAAATCCTCAACTTTGATTGGAATAATCTTGTAGAATGGTGAATGAAAGAAATTGCAAGAATAAATAAAGATAGAGCAAAGATGGAAGTGAAAAAAGTAGTCGAATATTCAGGTACAGTAATACGATATGATATCATAGCTATTTTGATATAATGATCACGATATCAGCGATATATCACACAAAAACCCTGAAGATTTCCATAATATAAAATATTTCCATAATATAAAACTTCTTGATTCTACTATGAGTAGTTAAGATGTTATGAGTAGATTCATACCACCATTAGTCAAGAAAGCAGTGCAGCTTTTCATTTTACCACAGTCCACCACTTCCGGTTCTTCCACTTGTGATTAAATGGGGAAGAAATAGTGCAATTTTATCAAACTAAATGCATTCTGTTTTAATGCTGCTCTGTGCAGTCTAATAAAACACACATAATATTGAAGCATCTTTGGTGTTTCCCTGTTTTTTTATAATAGCAAACTAGAATTTGAGGGTGTATGACCTCATAGCATGACAAAACAGGACACGTTTTCACACTAGTTAAAGTGACATACTTCTCTGGATTTGAACATTCTTCTAAACATTTTGCATAATTTTGCTACAAAAATAAACTAAATATACAAGTACAGTTGAAGACTGATGACAGATTTCTGTTTAATAGAGAGCAGATTTTTTTTCAACACATTTCTAAACATAATAGTTTTAATAACTCATTTCTATTAACTGATTTATTTTATCTTTGCCATGATGACAGTAAATAATATTTGACCAGATATTTTTCAAGACACTTCTATACAGCTTAAAGTGACATTTAAAGGCTTAACTAGGTTAATTAGATTAACTAGACAGTTTAGGGTAATTAGACAAGTTAATGGAATTAGACAACTGTAGACTATCGAACAAACATTTAGCTTAAAGGGGCTAATAATTTTGTCCTTAAAATGGTGTTTAAAAAAATTAATAACTGCTTTTATTCTAGCTAAAAAAAAACAAAAGACTTTCTTCCGAAGAAAAATTATGTAATTAAAGAGCTCAGCGCTACGTGTTTAGAACAGCGTCCATGTTTCTGCAGCATAAAAACACTGGGTGGACACCCGCCCTAAAGGGATAGTTAACCTAAAATGGAAAATTCTGTGATCATTTACTCCCCCTGTTCTTTTGACAAAACCTTTTTGAGTTTGTTTCTTCTGTTAACCGCAAAAGAAGATATTTTGAAGAAAGTTGGAAATTTGTAACCACTGAATTTAATTTGCTTGTTTTTTTTTCTACTATACAAGTGGCTATCACTTTCCAGTGTTCTTTAAAATATCTTCTTTTAGCCTCAACATAAAAAAAGAAACTCATAAAGCTTGAAAGTAAGTCAGTAGTGAACGAACAAACATTTTTAGGTGAACTATTTTGTTAATTTGCTTAATATTTTACTACACGTGACACCAAACCACTAAATCATCTTAAAGTGTCCCATTTGCTTTAAACACCAGCACTTGTGTTGTTCACGATTCAATGATTTATTCACAAATTGCCTGTTTAGTTACAATCCAAAATCCACTGCACTCACTGCAGAGAGAGTGAAAGACCTCTGCTTAACATGGGTGTCTAGTTTATAGCAGGGGTAATAATCTTCAAATAGCCAATAAAGGAGCAGTTTCTTTCCACTACTGAAACTAGGGCAAAGTCCAGCAGGTGTGCTGTTCTACCAAAGAAACAATGACAGAATTATCCCAGAAAGGAGATTAAAGGGTTAGTTTAGCATGAGGTGAAATTCATAATATACTCAATGTAGGCACGGGACGATAACAAGTTTCAAGGTTTACTGCGCTTTGGATAAGTCAAGGTTTTAAAATCGCCAAAGTTTTCTGTTATACCATTCCTAAGGTATATGGACATTTTTTAAAACATGTTTTTCACAACTATTTTATTTAGTTTTTAGGGCATCAGTTTCTCCAGCAGTAAATGAGCCTCTATATCAAAAGCTGATGTTCCCAAATATTTAAAATTGTTAAAATAAAATAAATTGTGTTTAGTACAAGAACAAAGTTTTTTTTTTTGTACCCAGTCATTTAAAACAAACTTATTTTGGAGCAGTTAACACTATACTGTAACACTGTGATATTTTTATCCAAGGTTATCATACAGTCAGAATCTCATATCATCATGTCACGTTTTTCTAAAACAGTATGTTTTTCATTGATCTTCATGTTAAATAAATATGCTATTAAAATATTTCGAATTGCCTTTGTCTTACACTTTAAGATGTTGGTAAAAGATACCAAATGTTTGGCTTGTGTTCATATATAAAGATGGAACTAAACATAAATCGGCACACTAACAACGTTTCAACCTACAAGGTCTTCATCAGGTCACACAAGGAAATGCGAGATAATCGTAGATATTGTCAAACTCAAGACATCCCACCTAATAAATCTAATAAATAATATTAATATATTAATAGGTAAATGACGTAAAAATACTCAAGTCGAAACAAATAAAATCTGCATACACAAATACATAATAATAAAAATTTAAATTAATGATAAATGAAGTGCTCATGTTGAGATACTTATATATATATTATATATACATGCAGTTGAAGTCATAATTATTAACCCCCCCCCCCCCCTTTTTGATTTTTTTACTTGTTTAATATTTCCCGAATGATGTTTAACAGAGCAAGGAAATTTTCACAGTATGTCTGATAATATTTTTTCTTCTGATGAAAGTCTTTTTTGTTTTATTTCCACTAGAATAAAAGCATTTTTTTTATTTTTTAAAAATCACTTTAAGGTAAAAAGTTATTAGCCCTTTCCCAGTGATGGATTGCGGCTGGAAGGGCATCCGCTGCGTAAAAACATGCTTGAAAAGTTGGCGGTTCATTCCACTGTGGCGACCGCAAATTAATAAAGGGACAAAGCCGAAAAGAAAATGAATGAATGAATGAATGAATGAATGAATTATTAGCCCTTTTAAGCTATTTTTTTAAATAGTCAGACAGAAAAAACCATCGTTATACAATAACTTGCCTAATTACCCTAACCTGCTTAGTTAGCCCTAATTAACCTAGTTAAGCTTTTTAATGTCACTTTAAGCTGTATAGAAGTGTCTTGAAAAATATCTAGTCAAATATTAATTACTGTAATTGTGACAAAGATAAAATAAATCAATTATTAGAAATGAGTTATTAAAACTATGAAGTTTAAAAATGTGTTGAAAAAATCAGCTCCTCGTTAAACAGAAATTGGGGGGAAAAATAAACAAGGGGGCTAATAGTTCTGACTTCAACTATATATAAACATCATAATAAAATCATTATAAACATTTTATTTCATGAATAAAATATTAATATTGTGATAAATAAATAAATAAATGAATAAACCTACATTAGCATAAAACAAACAATTGAACAAACATTGTATTAAAATCAAATATCATTGCGCCTGCTGCAGCCATGTTTCGGCAGCAAAGTTCCTTGATCATTATGCTGGACTGAGAGTATCATTCCTAGAAAGCACTACCTTTGCTGTTTGACCATCTTAGAATATGATGCTAAACAGAATAATTTAAATAGCAGAATTATGGAAATACTTTGGCCATTTTTGAGCAAGATGCTAATGGGCTAATCTGAGTCAATGATCTATGCTAAGCTAAGCTGAAAGTGTTTCCATCTGCCCCGGAGATAAGTAATGAATATAAAGTGGCTTCACATATATTGGCTTCTTTTAAGCCACTTGATATTCATATGCATGTGTTTCAGATCTCTTTATGAGTCTTGAGGCATCAGATTTTTGAATAAGGCTCTCAAAATAGGAACAAAAATTTCGCACATCAATTTAGAATTGAAATGAGATGACACTGAGAAATGGGCAGCACGGGTGGCGCTGTGGGTAGCACAATCGCCTCACAGCAAGAAGGTCGCTGGTTCAAGCCCTGGCTGGGTCAGTTGGCATTTCTGTGTGGAGTTTGCATGTTCTCCCCATGTTCTCGTGGGTTTCTTCCAGGTGCTCAGGTTTACCCCAAAAGTACAAAAACATGTGCTATAAGTGAATTGAAAAAATTATCTGTAGAATATGTGTGTGAATTAGTGTGTCTGGATGTTTCCTATAGTGATGGGTTGCAGCTGAAAGGACATCCGCTGCATAAAACATATGCTGGATAAGTTGGTGGTTCTTTCCGCTGTGTCGAAAAATACACTTTGTTGTGGGTGAACTAACCCTTTAAATGTCTTCAAAAGATCTGTAATTTTCAGTTTTTATACCCACAACACCTGCTTGGCACAGTCATTCATTAGCAGATGTGTGTCTTTTTGTGTTTTTGACCAGGAGAGGCAGTCCACTGCTCATCGGCATCCGCAGTCAATATGAACTTTCCACAGAGCAGATTCCTGTCCAGTACAACTGCAGTAAGTTCAATCCACGTCATCTTTTCTTCTCATCCGCCTGTTCATCCACCCAAACCAGTTCTGCTCACTCAAGTGAATTTATCTCTGACTAAATATGCAGCCAAATTCCACACCCACAGATCGCACTTTTTGAACTTTTCATTTCAGAGCTATTTCCATCAGTGAGTTGGTCATGTCTAACATTTTCACTCATCTCCATGAAGGTTTTGTTCTGCTGGATTATACAGCACTGTTCAGAAGTAGGTGCTGTTTGGGCAGAAGGTGTTTAATTAGAAATAAAAAAAAATGTCTAAAAAGTGACAGTAAAGTCATCAATGTTGCAATATATTCCAATTTTTAAACAATAAAGTTTGTTTACAACATGAATAATTCTAAATTATTGAAATTACATGAAAGTTTCAAATAAAAATGACAAAAACACTGTATTAAAATAGGTATTAAATAAAAAATAATAATAATGGAATAATAAAAATAATTCAAGATTGTTGATAAAAGTTGATACAATTAATAAACTAGATTGGATTCAAACATGCAAATAAATTCAAGTTGTATTAAAATAAATAATAACAATTATTTTAAAAAAATCTGTAAATACTTAGCAAATAAAAACAAACGAATAGGAAATTAAATATAATGATGTGAGTTATATATAATTCATTCATTTTCTTGTCGGCTTAGTCCCTTTATTATTCCGGGGTCGCCACAGCGGAATGAACCGCCAACTTATTCAGCAAGTTTTTACACAGCTGGTGCCCTTCTAGCCGCAACCCATCTCTGGGAAACATCCACACACACACTATGAACAATTTAGCCTACCCAATTCACCTGTACCACATGTCTTTGGACTGTGGGGGAAACCGGAGCACCCGGAGGAAACCCACGTGAACGCAGGGAGAACATGCAAACTCCACACAGAAAGCCAACTGAGCCGAGGCTCGAACCAACGACCCAGCGACCTTCTTGCTGTGAGGCGGCAGCACTACCAACTGCGCCACTGCTTTACCCGAGTTATATATAACATTATATATAATTATATAACTAATAATATTATAAATAAGAAAATAATAATATTTTACATCAATTTTATAAATAATTTTTCACAGTATACAATATATATATATATATATATATATATATATATATATATATATATATATATATATATATATATATATATATATATATATATATATATATATATATATATATATATATATATATATATATATATATGTGTGTGTGTGTTTCTCAAGTGGCAGATCAGCATATTAGGAATATTTCTGAAGGATAAAATTTCTGTAATATTTCTGTAACTTTAAATTTGATGTGTGTGTCACATTCTTTTACTCACATAGTTTTGACATAAAGGCATTGCTGACCTCTGGCACATTTTGGCCAGAGCTATTAAACAGGCTTGTGGAACCAAGCCCAAAACTAACTTTGAAATATGATCTTTTATGGCAACATTTGTCATCCTCTGTTTGTGATATCAGTAATACTATGATAGTTATGATATAGTATGATAGTTTATTTGACATTTTTAATAAATATTATACAGTGAAATATATATAGTATGTTATATAGCGAACAGAGCTGTGAAAAAAATTACATGTTAAAATATAAAAAAGTTGCTATTTATTATCAAAGTCAATATGAATAGGTATATATTTTAAGTAAAATGATCATTTGTGATTTATTTTATGATCTAATGAGGAAGTGTCTTAAAATTTTCAAATAAGCATAGTATTGTTGCAGCATTTCCATTGTCCATGTTTTCAGATATCAAATATTAGGAAAAATATGTATATACACACAAACTTGCACATTCAAATTGAGAGAAAATGTCATCAGTAGTTTACAGAATGTAAAATTTTACTTAAACACATAACTATAAATTGTATATAAGTCAGAATTATTAGCACCCTTTGAGTTTATTTTTATTTTTTAAATATTTCCTAAATGTTGTTTAACATAGCAAGAAAATTTTCACAATATGTCTGATAATATTATTTCTTCTGGAGAAAGTCTTATTTGTTTTATTTCGGCTAGAATAAAAGCAGGTCTTAATTTTTTAAACACCATTTTGAGGACAAAATTATTAGCCCCTTTAAAGCTATTTTTTTTCAATAGTCTATACAGAACAAACCATCGTTATACAATAACTTGCCTAATTACCTTATCTTGCCTAGATAACCTAATTAACCTAGTTAAGCCTTTAAATGACACTTTAAGCTGTATAGAAGTGTCTTGAAAAATGTCTTGTCAAATATTATTTACTGTCATCATGGCAAAGATAAAATAAATCAGGTATTAGAAATGAGTTATTAAAACTATTATGTTTAGAAATGTGTTGAAATAAATCTTCTCTCTGTTTATATAAAGGTCCCAAAAAATGAAAATCTGGATACAGACTTTTATTTTGAAATGTTGACTTTTTGGAAATTTATTTTGCTGCTTATTCAAAACTACTTATTTAAAATAAGCGAAAACAACAAAATTATTGAGCTTTGTTGCGAAAAACAAGTGTTTTATGTTCAATCGGCTTAAATTATTAAAAACAGTTAAGTTAATGTTATTGATTTGTGTTGGGAAAACATGACTGAGTTGTGTGGATCCCTTCATTTGTTTTACAGTGCACCAAGGCATGACTAAATAATAAGAGTTCATGGAAATGACATAACATTGACTTTAAACAACATTGTTTCCTCATTCTCATGGAAATCCTTTAAGTGTAAAATTCCGATGAAGAACAGCCCAATCAGAAAACACGTGCATGTGTACACACGTGTGTGTGCGCGCGTGTGCGCGCGTGCGTCTGTGCGTGTGTGTGAGAGAGAGAGAGTGAGTGAGAGAGAGAGAGAGAGAGAGAGAGAGAGAGTGTGTGTGAGTGAGAGAGAGAGAGAGAGAGAGAGAGAGAGAGAGAGAGAGAGATCGCATGCACTGACATAGTGGAGCGTCAGTGCAATGCTCAGTAATATTCATGACCATTTCAAATATGTTCAAGAGTAGCTTTTCTTTCAAAAGGATTGGACATAAGGGATAAGGATTTTTTCAAAGGATTGGACTTTACTTGCCTAAGCCACATACAGAGCTCAGCATATACAAGTCCAACCCTCACAAATCTGTCTAATAAATTAATACTTGTTATTAGGATGCTTTACAATATTATATTTGTGTAAATACATTAGATTAGTCAGTACTGGAGCCAAAACTGGGACTAATCTAACAAAAAAAACTTTAACAGTGCAAAAACTAGTACAACTAAATTTATTTGGTAGCGAAAAATGTAAAATACAAACTAAAAAAAGACAAAAAATCAAGAGAAGCAAAAATAAATATATATATTATATATATAACATTAAAAGATTTAACATTTTGTTGAAATTTTGTAGTTTGTAATATTTTTCTTGGAATTAAATGTGTTGCCTTTCTAAAGATATTTGTTGCCTAAAATATTATTTTAATAAATATATCTGTTGAATAAAACAGTTTTGTTTAAATGCACCAAAATGTATGACCTGAATTCACAAAAAAAAGGATAAAAAAATATATTTTTTCAAAATGACATGTACACATTGATGCTGAGCACTGTGTTTTGTACTGTGTACATATCAGACAACAATTTAACATATTGAATCAATGCATTCTATGGCACTTTTTATGCTAATTATGTGCATGCTGAATGCTAAATCACAGTACTTAACTTCTCCGTCAACATTTCACCCGATATTTTAGATGGATATACATGTAAATTACATTGGATGTAAATGGTTATTTCTTTTTTCCTCAAGGTGATTCCAGAAGAGATGAACAAGAGAAAAACCTGCATAACGGAGTGGGAAGCTCTAATGCCCTGCACTCAATTGACGACAGACTGGCGGTGGAGTTTTACTTTGCTTCTGATGCGAGGTAACATACTTTATTATAAAGTGGCCCGTTTTTCGTCCCACTCGCAATCCGCCTTCAGGCATTGCAGATTAAAGTCTGTGTAAAATGAAGATTCTACCCACTTTACTTCAGTATTGTGATTTATTTCCAACTGAAACCGAATATTGAAAAGTCTATATCTCTGGCATAATCTCTCCAGTAAACTAACAGTTGTAGATCACAGGTTGAAGGAAAAGTTCATCCAAAAATTTTATTTTACACTCTCTCAAGTTGTTTAAAACTTTTAAGAGTTCGAACACAAAAGAAGATGTTTTGAAGAATGCTGGATTCTTCTGGAGCCATTGACATCCTTAACAGGCAAATGGCTACCAGTTTCAGACATTCTTCAGAATATTTTCTTTTGTGTCCAACAGAAGAAATACACCCAAATAAGTTTGTACCAATTTAATAAACAATGACTTCATTTTAATTTGTGGGTGAACTATCCAAGTCTCAAATAACAGTGTGCTGACAAAATAGATTAAATATCGCTTTCATTACAGATGTAAAACCTTTTAAAAGCTATAATATATAACATTAGAGGATTTAAATATCAAGGTTTAACAGGTCCTACAAGTTGCTAACTGAAATGGAGATAAAGTGATATGCAAATGATATTAAGCTCAGCAGTGCATCCTGCTGGCCATAATACCTTATTACAGGGGATCGTGAAGTGAGAAGTAGAGTCATTGTTTACATTTCTCTGTCTCTCAGTGCCATCATTGAGCACACCAACAAGGTGATTTACGTGGAGGACGATGACGTTGCTGTAGTGATGGAGGGGAAGCTCTATGTGCACCGCGTTAAGCGAGCGGCTGGAGAAGATCCTGTCCGTGTCATTCAAACCCTTCAGATGGAGCTCCAGCAGATCATGAAAGGTCCCGCATCACACTGACACCACCCAAATGTTATTTCACTGAATTACTTTTTAAAAAAGGAAGGGAAAAATTCTATTCCTCGATTTAAGACATGGCTAACTTATCTCATTTAAATATTGCTCATGGAATGAATTAGTTGTTATTGATAACCTTGATAAGTTTTACAATATATGGCAACCATTTCTTGATCACCTGGTCCAACATAATGCAGATTCTGAGCAGCAGAGTGATGCTTAATATGCTTACTACCCCAATTAACTGCCTCTTTGTATTTTCTTTGAAACCATTTATTCTTCAACTACAGGCACTTTTAGCCTTGTGAAGTTGAGTAAAAAAACTTGTTCAAAATTAAAGTTACATAGCCTCATAAGTTTAAACAATTTGTGTAGTTTTAAGATCTGTAAGAGGACAAACTTAGATAAGAAGAGAAACATTTTTCCATTGTGAACTGAACAAATGTCAATTCCACCATGTCTCACTATACAGCATATTTCAAAATGAAATAAATGATGGCAGTCAAACATTGTCTAAGATCATTTTTGTATATAGTTTAACCAATCTTTCCACAATATATATAATGTTTATAAATTTGTCAATGAAATAAATTAGTTGTAAGTTGTATTGTACACCTGTCACACTCTAAAATGTAATATTAATTTGGTTAAGAGCTTATTAGAAAATAAACTGAATTTGTATATTAAATAGAGCATGAACTTATACATTGTGAATACACTTTTGATGTGTGATGAGAACTTTTAAAATATTTTTAAAGAATGTGTGTGGTGATGGAAATGATAGTGGTGGAAATGACATTTCAACAGTTTATTGTGAAAAAATGAAAAATAGCTTCACCAATTAGCTTTGAATTGATACTAGCCTTTCATTTATACAAAACAAAATCTCTTATTTACCTTAATTCTGTTTGGTTTTTAAAAACATCTTTGAAGGTACAGCATGTTTGGAAATGACTAAATGTAGAATAAATGTATTTCCTTATCTAGCTATATTTACCGTGATTTTCCTTCAAGTGTTGCTGATAAAAATTAAAATTGCCTCCATCTTGAACCTGTTATCAGATGGCACTATTCATTTTCATAGGAACCATCTAAATAATCTTTCACACAAACTTTTTATAGCGACGTTACAGTGTTTTGGTGGAACTGCACTGATACAGTACTGTGCGACAGCTATATTTTGTATAAAAAATAATATTGATAACAGTCTCACATTAATAACCATAAAATATTAAAAGGATTTCACAAGTGTTTCATTAAGATACATTAATAGATACCAGATAAATAATATTTAAAAATGTTTTTTTCATTGTTGAAGTTTAAAACTCTGGGGGTGCGACAAGGTGAAAACAGTTATTTTGACACCTAAATGGAGGATGAGTAATATGAAAAAAGTATAATAGAAAGCTAGTAATTTTTTTAAAGAAGTTTTATTGCTAGTTTGACAAAGAAAGTGGAATTTTAACAAAATTATATATATTTTTGGATATATGATTAAAGGACTTAAAAGTGCCCTTAGTTGAAGAATTAACCTTATTTGTCCTAATTTTTTTTCAATTTTTAATTAAATTTCTTGTATTTTTCTATTGCTGTTGCAAAACTAATGAAAACACTTGTTAAAAAAAGGAAGGGAAAAAATTTCAACAGGTAACAGGTAAAAGCCCTAGCCCTAATATGAGTTCACTGAGATCTGCAAATTATTTAACCATTGTATACAGTATATGTTTTTCATAACCTGCTCTCAGATCAATTTTATAAAGTTGTAGACTTTTAATGAGATATTTTGTAGTAAGCGAGATAATAGTAAGTCATCTGTTTTTGTAATTTTCCTCTATTACAATATAGAGAACATATAATCTTGAAAACTGATGAAAACACAAAATGAACAGATTTTATATTTAATTGTAGTATATTAATAACTAATTGCATTGCATTAATTAAATTGTACTTTTAAAATATCATCACCTTAGAATTATAAGGTTCTATCTGACATTTTTGTCAAAATTGAGTTATTGGCATATTCTTATTAAATGACTTATTTACATAAAAAATTTATTTAAATTATGGGATGTTTTTTATAAGTTGTTTACATTTTAAGACTTTCTATTTCAAAAAACAATTGTAACACACTGTTTGCTATGGAATGCAAAAACTTTAAAGCTCAATATCTCAAAATCTTTCAAAATGCAGATAGAACCTTATAGACGATATATTTGCTGTTAAGTTTGTAAAATTATTTACAAATGCATGTTTGCTTAAAGGGATAGCTCACCCAAAAATAGTGGTTCCAAGCTTTTATGAGTTTTTACTGATAAACACAAAAGAAGCTATTTTGAAGATTGTTGGAAACCGTTAACCACTGATATCCATAGAAAGAAAACAATGCTTTGGAAGTCAGTGGTTAGCAGTTTCCAACATTTTTCAAAATATCTTCTTTTGTGTTCAACAGAAGAAAGAAACATATAATGGTTTGGAACAAGTGAAAGGTAAGTAAATTATAACAGAATGTTCATTTCTGGGTGAACTGTACCTTTAGGAGTGTGTTGTTTTTATGCTATACTGACCAGCAGGAGTTGCAAGTGTATTTTGTTGTGTATTTCAAAACATCGATATTCGATGCATAATAATTTAGCTTAAGGCATATAATGCTTTATTGTGTTTAAAGTGACTTTTACCATTCTTGCAAATATAGTTATAATTGTTTTTAATATAAATGGATCTTTACTAATCTAAACGAATAGTCTTTTATCTATGTGCTTATGTATATACATTTGGCAGATGCACTATAGGCATTTTCATGTTCAGTCTATAGCCATGCGCAAGTGTGTGACAACCAAACAAAAACTGATGGACTACAGGATCACGTGTACACAGGCACATGTTCGTTAGTTTTTTCTTTTTACAAAGTGATATTGCCACCTGGTATACATTTTACAGCATTTATAGTCATTTTTAGACATCCATTTGAATAAAAATGATATTACATTGTTGTATACAAATTTTCAAAAATACACAAAATATTTTTTTTAGTACATAAGGCTGTGTAAACTATCAGTCCTTTAAATCTGAATGCTTTTGGCTGATTTTGTTTATTTGCATAAAAACATGTATATTATGTAATAATGCACCAAACACATTTGCTGTTTTTTGCACTCACTCACTATTTTTCCTACGGCTTTTCCCTGCTTCATCAGGGATCATCACAGCAGAATGAACCTGACTAGTTTTTTTTTTTTTTTTTTTTTTAACTCAAAAGGACAATTTTCTGAAAGTTCTAATCATTTGGGCATCTCAGTATTATTTCTTTAGGTCTTAGTAAGTTCTTTATCTTTTATTTGTGCTCACATATCTTTCATTTCATACGGTTCAGGTAACTTCAAGGCCTTCATGCAGAAGGAGATCTTTGAACAGCCTGAATCTGTCTACAACACCATGAGAGGCAGAATCTTTTTTGAAAAAAACACAGGTACATGACCTTCCACTTTGCCTGAACATCCACTTGAAATTCAGTTCGCCACCCCTAAAAACGCAGGAACAATACTGATTTGATATTACAGAATTACATCACTCCTAAAGGTGGTGTGCTATTTCTGCACCAATAGCTTCATGAAACCCCACCTCAAATGGTTAAGCTTGACAAATGCTATAAACAAAATAGAGTAAAATTTTAAAATAGAGATCTGTGTTTACACGTTTAAGCACTAGGACAATAATGCACTTCATCACTATACTACAATTTTTTTTGAAAGAAATCATCATGCTATGATGGCTGTTTGTATGTAGCCTAGTCAGCATGTTTATTTTTGTGCACAGTTTTTCTCGGGGGTTTGACTGACCATCTGAAAGAGATCAAAAGATGCAGACGCCTGATCATGATTGGCTGCGGGACCAGTTATCATGCTGGAGTGGCGGTGAGTGTTTCAATTATTTATTTCCTTCTTATTTTATTAACAGAACAATGCTATTGCTTTCCAGATGAAAATAAAAAAATGATATTGTATATTAGGGTTGCACGATAATGAAAAAAAGTCATTGCAATATTACAACTTCCCCAGATGGCTCGAATAGCGCTGTTTGCAAAGAATATATTATTTTAGAATGATTCGGGTGATTTTGTTGGAGAATATATTTGCCTATAATTTAATAAGGCAATAACAAGCACCAAAAAGTAAACTAAAACAAAAGACCTCGTAAACTAGAACAAAAATGCCATGCATTCTGTATTGTCATTGACAAAAACTAGTAAAAAAAAAATTTTGACTAGAATTTAAACTAGAATTGCTTTTTGAAGTGGAATATTTGATACATTTTTCATCTTTTTAGATCTTCCCTCTTTGAAGGAATAACAAGCAGACAAGGAGATAGGGTGTATGTGCGATTGATATAGCAGGTATATACACAGTGCATCCAGAAAGTATTCATAGCGCTTCACTTTTTCCACTATTTTTATGTTACAGCCTTATTCCAAAATGGATTAAATTCATTTATTTCCTCAAAATTTTACACACAATACACCATAATGACAATGTGAAAAAAAGAGTTTTTAGAAACTATCGCAAATTTATTAAGTATTTACAGCCTTTGCTGTAAATTAGTAAATTATTGTATTATGTAAATTATTGGTAAATTAGTTGATTGGACATGATTTGAAAAGGCATACACCTGTCTATATAAGGTCCCAGGGTTGACAGTGCATGTCAAAGCACAAACCAAGCATGAAGACAAAGGAATTGTTTGTAGACCTCCAAGACAGGATTGTCTTGAGGCACAAGGCTGGGGAAGGTTACAGAAAAATTTCTGTTGCTATGAAAGTTCCTATGAGTACAGCGGCCTTCATCATCTGTAAGTGGAAGATGTTTGGAATCACCAGGACTCTTCCTAAAGCTGGCTGGCCATCTAAGCTGAGTGATCAGGGGAAAAGGGCTTTATTCAGGGAGGTGATCAATAACCCGATGATCACTCTTTCTGAGCTCCTGCGTTCTTCTGTGGAGAGAGGAGAACCTTACAGAAGGACGACCATCTGTGCAGCAATCTACCAATCAGGTCTGTATGGTAGAGTGGCCAGACGGAAGCCACACCCTGCCTGGAATTTGCCAAAAGGCATCTGAAGGACTCTCAGACCATAAGAAACAAATTTCTGTGGTCTGAAGAGATTAAAATTGAATGCCAGGCATTACGTTTGGAAAAAAACAGGCACCACTTATCCCCAGGCTAATACCATCCCTACAGTGAAGCATGGTGGTGGCAGCATCATGGGAAAGATAAATGCAGCAATGTACAGGGAGATCCTGAATGAAAACCTGCTTTAGAGTGCTCTTGATCTCAGACTGGGGCAACGGTTCATCTTCCAGCAGGAAAATGCCCTACAGCACACTGCCAAAATATCAATGGAGTGGATTTACAACAACTCTGTGAATGTCCTTAAATGGCCCAGCCAGAGCCCAGAACTAAATCCTATTAAACATCTCTGGAGAGATCTGAAAAAGGTTGTACACTGTCACTTTCCTTCCAACCTGATTGAGCTTGAGAGGTACTGCAAAGAGCAATGTCAAAAATTCCCAAAGACAGGTGTGCCAAGCTTGTGCATCATATTCAAAAAGACTTGAGGCAGTAATTGCTGCCAAAGGTGCATCAACAAAGTATTGAGCAAAGGCTGTAAATGCTTATATACATGTGATTTTTCATTTTTATTTTTAATAAATTTGCAACAGTTTCAAAAAATAGTTTTTTCACATTGTCATTATGGGGTTCTGTGTGTAGAGTTTTGAGGAAATAAATTAATTTAATCCATTTTGGAATAAGGCTGTCAGATAAAAAAATCTGGAAACAGTTAAGCGTCATGAATTTTCCGCATGCACTGTATTTATATGACATGGGAATATCTAATAGCTCATAGTAACATGAGTTAGCTACCTCTTCGTAAATATTTTGGACCACATTGGCGAGTTGGTTCATTTCCATCAGCTCACCAATGAAAAGACTAGTCGTTGTATCCTGGAGGAATGAAGGCTCTGGCAACTGCTGCTGAGTTGCTTTGATTACTATTAACGTTCGAATGTAGCGCATTTATTTTAAATTGTGATCAAAACTTATTTGTGATCAAAACTGCATTTGCATATAATGTTTTAATTGCATACCTTCCAGCCAATCAGAATCAATAATTTCAACAAACCATAGAATAAATGTGTTACCATTTGCAGTCTCCCACTTAAATTATGAAAAATGCTCAAAACCTGCTGTATATCTGACTGTTGTCCATGGCAACATCTTTCAGATCTCCTGTCGGACTTTGGTCAAACTAGAGCACATGATCACAGCATTTTCTGTGTTTCTCTATGCAGACTCGACAGATCCTGGAGGAGTTGACTGAGCTTCCTGTTATGGTGGAGCTGGCCAGTGATTTCCTGGATCGCATCACTCCTGTCTTCAGAGATGACGTCTGTTTCTTCATCAGCCAGTCAGGTAAAGTGCAGCTCTTTACCGTCAGTCTTATGATTTATTATCCAGAAAGAGATGATAATAGTGACCTCCGGACTGATATAGCACTGAATTACACAACAGTAAGTGCATGAGGTGATATAATATCCATATGCCCACAGGACAGATAAAAAACGATATCAGAGTAGACAACACAATACCAATGTTTTTACTTCAGATGAGTTCATGGTTCCCAAAAATGAACATTCCCTCACCATTTACTCACAATTTTATGAGTTTCTTCAGAAGATATTCTGAGGAATGTTGGAACAAAAACAACCACGAACATCCACATTGGGAACAAAAAAATATGTCAGTTGCTGTTTTTTCTAATATTCTTCTGTATATCTTCAGTGCATCTTCCTTTCTATTAAACAGAAGAAAAAAAGATGAGTAAAGGATGACAGAATTTTTTTTTTTAGTTTTTGGAAGAACTACCCCTTTAGTCAATATTTGGTTGAATGTTAACATTTAATACTTAATAAATCCAGAGAAACTCAGAATTTTCTGTTGGTTTCCATAGCTGTATGTCCTTAAAAAATATATATATTATACATTTTTTGTCTTCTTTTGTATGATTATTGTCCTTAGTGTTAGACTGAGTCTAAATAAAATCTTGTGATGAGATTTTGATTTAGAGTTAATAAGTAAATTCATTCGTTTTCTTTTAGGCTTAGTCCCTTTATAAATCTGGGGTCGCCACAGCAGAATGAACCGCCTACTTATTTTAATTAATGAAGAAATTAACTGCCAACTTATCCAGTTTTACGCCGCAGATGCCCTTCCAGCCGCAACCTATGACTGGGAAACATCCATACACACTCCATACATTCATACACACTCAATCACACACATACACTATGGACAATTTTAGCTTACCCAATTCACCTATACCACGTGTTTTTGGACTGTGGAGAAAACCGGAGCACCCGGAAGAAACCAACGTGAACAAGGGGAGAACATGCAAACTCCACACAGCTGAAGCTTGAACCAGCGACCTTCTTGCTGTGAGGCAATTGTGCTACCCACTGCGTCACTGTGCTGTGCATCTTTCTATTTGTGGCACATTGATTGAATACAGTAAAATACAAGCATTACTATTATGGTGCAGGTTTTAGGGTAACCACAATTTATTTATTTATTTTAATTATTAAGTTAGTTAGTTAGTTAGTTAGTTAGTTAGTTAGTTAGTTAGTTGTAAATTCTTAATTTCCTTATTTTTCAGGAGTGGGAAATGTCTTTCTACTCGTGGCACATATACTGAATACAGTAAAATACTAGTAATAGTATTTACAATAGTTATTACTTTTTCTATAGTGATAATGGTGCAGGTTTTAGGTTAACCACAGTTTGTTTATTTATTTATTTATTTAGTCAGTTAGTTTGTTGAATTAGTTGTAAATCAATCATTTCCTTTTTGTCTGGAGTGAGAAATGTCTTTCTACTTGTGACACATTAATTGAATACAGTAAAATACTAGTAATACTATTTAAAATAGTTTTTATTATTTTTCTATATGGATAATGGTGCAGATTTTAGGTTAAAGACAATGTATTTACAATGAATTTATTTATTTATTTAGTCAGTTAGTTTGTTAAATTAGTTGTAAATCAATAATTTCCTGATTTGTCAGGTGTGAGAAATGTCTTATTACTTGTGGCACATTAATTGAATACAGTAAAATACTAGTAATACTATTTAAAATAGTTTTTATTTTGCCTATAGTGATGATGGTGCAGGTTTTAGGTTAACCACAATTTTTTATTTATTTTTTGTTAAATTAGTTGTAAATCATGAATTCATTGTTCAGGAGTGAGAAATGTCCCTCTACTCAAGGCACTTTAACTGAATACAGTAAAATACTAGTAAGAATATTTATAATAGTTATTTTATTATTGTTCCATAGTGCATGTTTTAGGTTAATCCCTCAAAAAGCTTTATTTCAGTGATACTGATGAAGACATTTGTTTGTAATATTGATCAGGCGAGACGGCGGACACTCTGATGGCTCTCCGCTACTGTAAGAAGCGTGGGGCATTGACTGTGGGCATCACCAACACTGTGGGCAGCTCAATCTGCAGAGAGACCGACTGTGGGGTTCACATCAATGCTGGGCCTGAGGTCGGGGTCGCCAGCACTAAGGTACGTTACACAGACCAATCAACATTATAATTCAGCTCTAATAATACTGCATAAATATGATGTAATTTAGAACTTATATCATATCATATATTGTATTATATTATATTATATTATATTATATTATATTATATTATATTATATTATATTATATTATATTATATTATATTATGTTATATTAGATTATATTAGATTATTATCATTTTAAAACAAGAATTCTATTTTTATTCTATTTTATTTTCTATTTTTAAATTATTACTAAGAAAAATCATATTATTCTTCAGAAATAGTTTTTTGTTCATAACCGATCTAATAATATGATGATTAGGTGTTGAAAAATATTTCTTAAATTATGAATTATTAAAAAGTATTATTCTATTCTAATCTATTTTATTAGATTAAAATAACTTTTATTTCTAATAAAATAAAAATCAATAAAGAGTCAAGTTATGACAAAACTATAGTCAAAACTATGTATAGAATTGTTGTAATAATTTGATGATTAGGTGTTATTATTTCTATATTTTCATATACCCTAATGTTGAAAACAGCATTGTTTAATGAAGAAAAATGTTAAAAACTATTTTATTTTATTACAACTAAATATGCAAATTTTTATTTCACTTTTAATCAGTTTTATACCTAAACAAGTAAACTTGTTTGAACTGTAGTTTATATTATATGAAATTATTTTATATTAACTATATTGTATTTTAAAATATTTTAACATATATAATGCAATATCGGCCTCTACCCATGTTCTTTGTGTATCTGCTTTGTATAACAAATAGCATGTCTTTTATGCTGTATGCGTGTGCCTTACACTTGATCTGCAGGCCTACACCAGCCAGTTTGTGTCTCTGATCATGTTCGGCCTGATGATGTGTGAAGACAGACTTTCACTGAAGCCGAGGAGAAAGGAGATCATCAGTGGCCTCAATCAACTGCCAGGTACTCATGCATGTGCGTATGTGTGTGTGTATGTGTGTGTATTACATTTAATGAATGACCCATGCTTTTTATTCAGTAGTTCATTAGTTGTTTGAAATTGTAATAACTTTGCTGTTGTCTTCCATTCAGAGTTGATCAAGAAAGTTCTGGCTCAGGATGACAATATCAAAACCATTGCAGAGGAGCTTCACCATCAGAGGTCTCTATTAGTCATGGGTCGAGGCTTCAACTACGCCACCTGTCTAGAGGGGGCGCTGGTGAGTACATAGTATCAACTAAAAAGTGAATGCTAGAAAGTTTTTAATAGAATAATGTGTAGTTTAATAGAAGTGCTGTTACTAGTGTCTTCTGGGTGGTTGCATGGGTATTATACAGTTGAAGACAAAAGTATTAGCCATTCTGTCAAGTTTTCCTATTTAATTAACCTAATTAAGATAGTTAAGCCTTTAAATGTCTCTTTAAGCTGAATACTAATATCTTGAAAAATATTTAGTCAAATATTGTATGCTGTCATCATGGCAAAGATAAAAGCAATCAGTTATTAGAAATGAGTTATTAAAACTGTTATATTTAGAAATATGTTGAAAAAATCTTCTTTCTATTAAACCGAAATTGGGGAAAAGTATATAAATGAGCGCAAAAAATTCAGGCGGGCTAATAATTCTGACTTCAATTGTATGTACAATATGTTTTCACATACAAAATATGAAAATAATTTTCTCAGATTGATTGGCTATCTCAGCAAATACATTATTTGAAATATGTTCATTGCAATATAGCTGTAATAAGGGAGAGCAGGTTTGGAATATTTGTTTTAATAATTTAAGTTCATTTTATTGATTATTTCAAAATCTGTAGATAAATCAGTGCTCATATTGGGTAAAATTGCTACTTTTTACTGTCATCTAATGTGTTTTTGCTCATTATCAATGCAAAGACACAGTCACTATTGCTCTTTGAGTTGAGTCACTTTTAAAAGTTGCTACAAGTAGTTAAATTAATGTTTGAAAATCCTAAATTTGTTGCTCGATGCTTTTCGAAAGTATGTTGCTAGTGCAGTACAAAAGAGTTGCCAAATCTAGTAACAAAATTGCTAAGTTGACAAAACTGCTATGGTGCACTCTGCCATTGTTGTGTGTTGGTTTGCACTTGCTATTAATCTACACTCCGCTATATAATGTACTGTACTGTAATCTCCAAAACTGTTTACCAAGCTTACGATTACGTTACATATTTGGAACCACCAATAAAATTAAACAACAACTGTCCCATAAGTTTAGTTTCTAAACGTCCAACTCAAACAAAATCTTAATATTTTCAGGTTGCCCAAGCAAATGCGCATGTGCACTCGACATAAACGCGATCACGACACCAACCTATTTATGGCAGTGTTACACATTATCATCCTCTGGATAATGCTTTGTCAGATCGGGCTGGTCTTCTGAAGTAATTCACAGCTTGGTCTTGAGGGCGAATCTGCTCCAGAAATGACAGTGACTCTTTGTTTACAAGTTTGTGGGCGTTTGAGTAGTTGCAGTAATGTGATGTGCATTTGACAGGGCGAATTGTACCTCGCGTTCATTTCATATGGATAACAAGACCAAAAAACTGCTGTTTTGGTTCGTTAAAAAGTACAGATTTATTTGTATATATTTCTCATGCCTGTGAAGCACGTATTCACTGAGACTCCAATGTGTTTTTTGACCACCAAACCGTATCGTAAAATCACAGGTCTGGTCTGAGCTTTTCCCCCAGAGAAACGTCAGTCTATAGCGATCGCTGATTGGCTACTGTACTAGTAGGCGAGGCTTCATTTTCCATATTGACCGTTACACTTTTTCCCATTCAAATCTATACAAGTGACATGTGTTGTGTATTCTATAGTCTTGAGTCTTATGCATGCGCTTGATGTCATCATTTTTCAAACACACATTTACACACACTGTTTTTGGGTGTTCACAAAAACACAACAATGGTGACATTTTCAAATAATTCCACTTTGGAACCATATATCTAGTTTTTTTGTCACATAAACGCTGTAATCAAACAAGCAAAACGCATTAATACTTTACCTTTTTTTGGCTGAAAACATCATCTAAACAGCCTCTAAGATATATTAAGTAGCTTAAAGAATAAATGGAATAGATTAAATGATAAATTGAATAGCAGATCAGTAAGTTTATTGAGCATAAAATGAGAAGTGCAGTGCAACTCAAGCATTTTTATTTGTCTTTATGCCTTGCAGAAAATCAAAGAAATCACATACATGCATTCAGAGGGCATTCTGGCTGGAGAGCTGAAGCACGGCCCATTGGCACTCATCGACAAGCACATGCCAGTCATCATGATCATTATGAGAGACGCCTGCTACCAAAAGTGTCATAATGCCTTGCAACAGGTCACAGCCAGACAGGTAACAATCATCAGAGTATGAGATATTAAGATTATTTAAATGTGTCAACATTAAAAAGTGTTTTTTTCATGTCTCTTCTGCTAAAATAACTGGCTTTCATTTTAAAATATTGCCAAATATCTAATATTCCTGTGACACAAAGCTGAATTTTAAGCAAGCATTACTTCAGTCTTCAGTGTCATGTGATCCTGCATTAATGAAAGTACTCAGGAATGAATAATCTTACTGACCTTAGATGTTTGAAGAAGTACAGTAGTGTACATCTGTAGATCCTGCAATATGTCCAATCCTCCAACACTTTCTGATGACTGATATCTTGTGTAAATCTTTTCAGGGTCGCCCCATCATCATATGCTGCCAGGACGACCCAGAGATCAGCAAAATGGCCTATAAGACTATTGAACTGCCTCAAACAGTGGACTGTCTGCAGGGCATCCTCAGTGTCATTCCTCTGCAGCTCATATCGTTCCATCTCGCCGTTCTCAGAGGATATGATGTATGTTAACTTTTATCTTATTCATGCATTCCTTTAGTGAAATCATCTTTTAAATAAAAGAAAATAATATAATAATTTACTGCTCCAATAAGGCTTAAAATGTAAACGAAGATATTTGTAAAAGATTTGTATCTCTCTATTGAAAGTAGAACATTTGCTTTGTTCCATAACTGTGTTCTTTTACACAGCAATCACTGAAAATTAATGTCAAATTATCAAAAATACTTTACCAAAAACATCCTGTTCATACAAGCAATTAAATTCGTATTTGTTGTTTTTAAATACTGGTTTAAAAGAGGCTATGCATGCATCCTTACAAAATACAGTAAACACTGTGATGTCATTAGAAATTACCTTTAAATAGAATTTCTTCATCCATCTGGTGACTTATTTGTTTGCTATTTGTTAAATTAGATCATACTTTAAAACCTAATGCTTAATTGAAGCAATGCGAGTAGCAATAGTACTGCAGCCAATAATGTTACTTTACTGCAAATAACACAGTTTTATTCTGAGTGTGCCTCACACAGGTGAGTGGGCTTGACAAACCACCTGTGGAAAACCCACACCTTCACCTCTCTGACATTTTAACTGACACCAATTGTTGAACATTTGCACCAGACACATTCTGCTATAACTCCATACATAAAAAAACTTCACACAGGTGAGTGGGCTTGACAAACCACCTGTAGAAACACTCTTCTCTCAAGAAAAGACTGAACAAAACAAAAAATACATACACACTCGCCCCTCTTAAAGGCTCGTACACACAGGGACGCTTTTGGTTTGTGTATATGGTCAGTGTTTTTCAAGACGTTTTCCTGGATTCAACCCCAATTGATTTTCACTGGCGTTGAGCAGAAGAGTATGCAAAATTGCTCCTTGGCATTTGATAGCGCTACACAACTTTAAGCTTCTGACACCCGCTTGTAACACAGTAGACACAAAGTTGACACGCTTGTTGTTATGAATGGTTCAAGTAGCAGCTCCAGCTCTAGCCATAAAGAAATGATTATTGTTCTTCAGTGCAATAAGCAGCTCCACGTTTATATTTAGCATCTGAGCATCTTCTTCAATGTGCGCTCGCATGGACAGTTTTGCACTTGAGCGCCTCCAAGTGCTGTTTACTATAACTTCAGCAGCTTTGTCTACGTGAACAAAAGTGCCAGTTTGATTGGTGGAGAAGGTTTTAGCACGCCAAGTCAAAACAAAAAAACAAGCATGAGGATTTTTTTTTAAATGACGCTTTTACGCCTGCTGTCTTGCCTGTTGGTGTGCACGATCACATTGTCATCTTTTTTTTAATCACGAGGCGTTAAACGTCGACGGAAAACGTGAACAAAAATGTCTCAGTGTGCACAAGGCTTAAATTTTTAGCTTAAAATACCACATAAATCCATTATTTTACCAGGCTGTATATGTGAATTGAAGTACTGAATGAAAACACTGTTTATGTCTGTGTCTCTTTCAATGCAAATGAGCTGCAAAACAGAAGATTGGTAGATGCCCGAAATAAAAATGTAAAAATAACATTGATCAATAACAAATACATTAGAAAAACATTATTGAAAGCATAAACAGGAATAAAAATGAACTCTATAAAATATAAGTATGAAGTTATAATGGCATGCAAACATTTAGTTGAAACATCAAGAAAAAAGCCTTTTATTTCAATCGTAACTGACTAATCTTAAGCAGCTACAAAAAATTTCCCCTTACTTTTTTCTTTCAGCAAACTCAACTTCCTCTCTAAAAATCAACTATTTAACTTTTTTGGCTACTCAGTGTCTTTTTCACATATAAATGCATACAGAAAGAATATAAGGGCGTGTGTCCACTAAAGCGTTTTTTTTTAGCTGAGCCTTGTTTTTCTATTGTTGTCAGTCATATTAATGTGTATTTTTTAACAGCAGCATAACATGCATTTTACGCTCAGCCCTTTTTAAAAGCTTTGACTGTTGGAAAAGCGCTCTCAGTAGATTGGTTTAACTGTTTTTTTTTTAATTTTCAAAAGATTTTGCATTTCAAAAAAAGGAAGAAAAAAAACGCTTCAGTGAACAAGCTTCCTAAAACTAATCATGACAAGAAACAATAATTTACAATAATCTAACTCACCTAAACAGAACATAATTACAAATTGTCATAAGATTGCATTGTCTAAATTTGGTCAAACTTATGATTTGTTTGCTTGACATTAATTGCATTTCATAAGTAGCTGGAATAGTCGTCAGCTAACACAATTTTGTGATGCGCTGTTTATTGCAGAAAAAAATTGTTTTCTAATTATTATGCATCAAATTTTAGGCCTTTCGTTTAAAAGTTTGCATAAAATATTTTATGCAAATTTGTTAAATTAGCCTCTTATTTAAAAATACATATTTTATTATATTCAATTTTTGCTTGGGGTGCACAAAAATTAACGACCAAAATATCTGCATCTTTAGATTTTTTGCGATTGGAAAAACAGGCAATAATATGACAAGCATTTTACAATTATTATTATTAATTTTTATTTTTTACAAATTATTACAAAGCAATTTCAGTTTCGTTTTCTGCACAGATTTTTTATTTTATTTTACAGCCAGTGCTGGGCATGTTCCTTTAAAAGAGTAATTAGTTATAGTTACTAGTTACTTACTAGTAACTGAGTTAGTAACTAATTACATAATTAAAAAAGTAACTAATTACCAGGGAAAGAAACTACTGCGTTACCCAAAAAATATATAATTCGTCATATGGCTATAAAATTAATATAAATCATTGTACACTAATTTACACTTTTTTAATGTTATTGTGGGACAGAATGACAGACAACGGCAGCATGTCCTCAACTATCTATCTAGATATTATTTTGTTTAATTCTGTCTGAGTAATAAGTGTTTACTTTTATTTGCTTTGATGTCTCGGCTTCGTCTCCTTCTTTGGTAGCAGAGCTCTGACTCCTGGGTCGTTGGTGTGTGCAACTGACTGTGCGTGTGTGTGAACACCTGCACTACTCTGCCTCTTATTGGCAAATGATTGAAATGTGCTCGCTCTAAGCCAATCATCACATTCTCAGTTACACCACCTTCACAGACACACCAATCATCATTACTGGATGGTTATGAGTCCTGTCCCACCCTGAACAAACACACACCCCAGAGACTGAGAGGTCCCATGGCTGAGAGACGCTGCTCATATGAAAACCGCTTCAGTGTTTAAAATTATAGTAGTGCACATTTTATTGTTAGTAATGGCAATGGCGTTGTAATGGGGGAACAGTAATTGTTTTGATTAACGGTTGCTGAAAAAAGTGTCATAAGTAACGCTGTTCATGTAAAGCGCCGTTATTCTCATCACTGTCTGCAGTAAAACTTAAAAACAAACAACTAAAGCCAAAATGATCAAAATAGCAGTGCTTTTTTAGGCAAAATCAACTGATGATTATTGATTTTTGTCTGTTTCTAATTTATTTTTGTATATTTGGTCTCCATCAGGTGGACTGCCCGAGGAACCTGGCCAAATCTGTGACAGTGGAGTAACTCCTCGCTCAAATGTGAACCAATGAAAGTTGAAGAGGACGATACCAGCCACCAAAGTGCAATCTACCAGTGTGCGTGTTTACGAGTGCTTGCGTCTGTGTGAATGTGGGAAGTGTGGGTATTTATGAATTCTTATCAAATCTCTAAAGGCCACAAAAGACGTGTATGGAAACAGTCGGAGGAAATTTGATTGGGGTGACATAGAGACCTTTTGCTTCGTAAGTGCCTTAGCATTCAAGTGCAAATGAAGGGAATCCTAAAATGTGCCTTAAACGCTCTTCTCTCAGCTCTTAACTGAGCCCGAAGGATCACAACTAAAGGCCCGTTCACACCAAGGATGATATAAAAGGCTTTTATAGTTGTTTTTTTTTTTTTTTTGTCTAATGTAAAGATACATCCAACCGACACTTTCAAGGGTTTTTTGTCGCACTTTATCAATTTGTTTTTATAGATTTCAGTTACAGTACATATTTTTAAAGGGCCGTCTATTTTTAAAGGACCATCTACAGCAGGGAAAATAAGTATTGAACGTGGCATGTTTTTTCCTGGGAATAACATTTCTAAAGGAGCTGTTGACTTGGAATTGAACTTGAATTTAGTAAAAACCCAAACAATACAAACATGTAAATAAAACAAAACAAATCTAACAAATCAGTGTAAAAACAATGAAATGACACAAGGAGAAAGTGCTGAACTACTAAAACGTTGGTAATACTTGTTTTGGTGATGGCAGCTTTAAGACACCTCTCATATGGAGAATGAGGCCACATAAACTGCTCAGGAGTTTTTCACAGACTTCAAAAATCATGATGATTCTGCGGGTCTCGTCTATCAAATCTGATCTTTATTTTCTATTGGATTCAACTCAGGTAATTGGCCAGGCCATTCTACAGCTTGACATTTGAAAATTCCTTTACTGTGTTTTTAATTCATCGTCTTGCTGAAATGTCCACTCTAGTTCTGCATCATCTTCATCATCCTGCTAATGTAGATGCTGAACTGAAGCAGCTAATATTCATTTACAATGATAAATGGCAGAAAGTTGCTAAAGAACTTCTAAGAGATTTCAGCTGCTGTCTGGTTTTTCACTGTCTTTCTACACCTTCCTTTCTTCATGTGTTCAATCCTTTTTTTCCTGTGTCCTTTCATTTTATTACTCATAACTTCATTTTCTTGCATATATTCAGTTCTTTGGTCGTTGCCAACATCCAGTGAAAATTTCAAGCAAACGGCACCTTTAGAAATATATTTTCTGAGAAAAATGTTGACGTGTTCAATACTTATTTTCAATAATTATTTTCCAAATATACTTATTTGTATATTCTGAATGTGTCTATGCTCATCATTTTATACTACAAGTTAATTATTCTACAAATGTATTCTGGTTGTTAATAATAATTTCTGAATTATGGAGTGATGAAAAGAGATTCTAAAAATGTAAAAACGCGTGCCTCCAATTACGTCAAAAAATAAAAATTGAGAAGAATTTGGACCTGATTTTATCCAATGTTCAGATTTTTGTACTAGAAGTGTATGCAAATTACTGCTTATTTAATTAAATAATGCTTTATTTGAATATTTAAGCTTAGCATTTTAGAATACTTATGAAATATTCTTAACATAATCAATCAACTGGTGAGTTCATTTTCACCATAGTCATAATCATAACTATAACCACCTACAAAGTGTCTTTTCTTAAAGTGACATACAATAAAACCGCAATGTGTGCACATAATAAAACCGAGCAATGTTGTGTTTTAATATGCACACTCGTTTAAATATTTTCATAGATTTCATTTTTAGTGTGAACTGGCCTGAAGTCGAATGTTTACCTCTGAGAAACCAAAGTGCAATATACTTTAATCTGCACAAATAATCTGTACGTCGTAAGAAACGTGCTGCCGCTGATCGCAGGAACCAAAGATCTTAGTTAGGATGAGTGTGTTATTGTGGAAGTGCATGAATGTTTAAGACAAGTATGAACTGTATTGAAATGAAGCTCTATTTTGCTATATGCTAGAAACACTTTGTTATCATCCTTATTGCACACATTTCTACAGAAGATTCTGTCATATATTTAGATGGAGCAATGAAGTGTTAATCACAATGACCTTACATACAGCATTCAATCACTTATGCGGAAAAAAACAAAACGGTAATAATATGAATAACTGGGTTCCACTGGAAGATTTACTGTACTGTCTGAGTTTACTATGACTGTGAAGCACTCATTGTGGGAACAATTGTAATATAAATACAGTTTGTTATTATTATTATTTTTTAAATTACAAATTTCAGTGATTTTTACAATATATATTTGCCGAAATGAGATTTAAAACCCTCAATGTAACTCTTCTCTTTTATTTTACAGTCTTGATGGGACAAATGATATTGTCATTGGATTTGGTTGGTTTAAAGCATAATTTCTCTGGTATATATAGGTGTCATATTCGTCAGTTATAAATCACTTTTGTATTTTTTTAAAAGTTACAGTATGGTTGAGGGTTGGATCATTGAGAGCAGCTTTGGAAAAAACAGTTGTATATTATTTGATGATAATCAATTGCAAATTGATTAAATAAACTGAAATGCAACCAGCAACGGTGTGAGTTACTTGAATTATCCTTTATGATTTTATTGTTGTTTATTTATTTGCATTTTAATTTCTATTTTGATGGTAATTTTTACGATCTTGTACACTGTTCTTAGAACACTGGGAAAAAAAATGCAGGGTTCCACACAATTTCCTTATAATAACCCCTTTCACACATTCAGACCATTCTGGAAATTACCGGCAATTTTCCGAAAAGGTCTGTATGTGTGAACAAGCCCTTTTTGGGGGGATGGGGCGGGGGGGTGGAGGGGTATTGGATTGGATATTGTGGCTTATTTTGTTTTATTGTTTCAATCATTTTACATAGGTCAAAAACGTGATTTGTTTACATAATATACTGTAGGGTCCAGCCAGTTGGTCCAACGACGGTGTCCACTGGTGGATGAAGGTTTACTGCATGTTCGGTCTTTCTAGTGCACAATGTTGATTTACAGTACTTTTAACTTAACTCATATCTGACTTCAATTTTAGTATGAGGTGGTTTAGAATATTAATATATTTATCCTTGTTTTATCTGACTCCAATAATAAAACATTGATATTTTAGATAATGATTGAGTATTCTCTTCAGTTCATTATTTTATGTTATTCTTGTTCATTCGGATTCCAATAACATCCTGAATCTTGTACCGGCTGAGTATACAGTTTCTTAAGCACAAGCGTGTCAGTCTTGTTCACTAAACAGTGGCAATTGACCGATATCCTAAAAAGACAGAACCCTACTTACTCAGATTAGGATATTTTTTATGCGGCCCCCATAGAGCTGTTACCTTCTAAATCAAACAGAGCTATTTAGTCATATAATGATCATTACTATAGAATTAAGCAGACCAGTCATACTTAAACTATTAGTAACTTTGAATAATCACTATGCTATCTAAATAGTATTATACGTTTAACAGATGAAGGTCTATCCCCTTAGATAACCTTTTACAGTCTTTTACAGTATGCATGAATTAATGCCAATGTGTTAGTCGGATCTCTAAAGACATCGTATAACGTGCCACGCTGCTCCGTTTACTGTGTTTTAGTCCGTTACTAACCTGTACAGGGGCTTGTGGTGTTATGAAATTATCACAATCTACTAGAGATTGTAACACGAACTCTGTTTGAATAATTCAAAACATAACAATTTATTAGTCAGGTAATAGTGTATTATGCCAATTAATTCAGTCAATTCATAAACGATCAATATAAGACATCAAATTATCAAAGAAAAATCTAAGATTAAAAGAGGCATACCTGACTTCAAAATATACATAACATGGATCGTAAGCTCCATGTTACGGGCTCATCTGGGTAAGCAGAATCGCACCTAACATTTTTTAAACCTCCCTTAAGTAATCCAAGAATCTCCTCAAGGAAAGGGGTGTGTAAATAACAAAGGGCATTTGCATTTAGTGCTGCCTATAGGAAAGGCACACCCTTCACAGTGGTTCAAAAGATGCCTGAAGTTATATATTTATTGTTTTGATTATGTCTATTTCTGAGGGAATGAGACCATTGTACCAGTCGCACTGAGACATTTAAAATAATATCAAACATGATAGATAAAGTCACTTGGGTTAATTTAGAACATTCAGACTTTGAAATGACCATATGTGTGAGTTGGGGTGGTTGAAGTCAAGTTTCAGGGGATTGAAATGTAAATGTAGGGGGAGCTGGTTCTTTCCCGCATTCCCACCTGCTGGGTTGTGGAGTCACCAGTCTCTGTTTTCAGCTCATGTTTGAATTGTCAAAGACATCAGAATATTTGTGATATCTCAATTCTTACAATACACTGCAACATAACCACTTTTCTCGAGGTCTGAATAGATTTGTTTCATTTAAATTTTGTCTGAAATTTGTTCTTGGATCATTTCTCAAAAGTGTGATTCAGAGAAAACAAATGTGCGCTAATAAATATGCATACACTACCTGACAAAAAACATGTCGCCTATTCAAGTTTTAGGAACGACAAATAATAACTTGACTTCTAGTTGATCATTTGGTATCAAAAGTGGCTAATAGGAGAGTCAAGGGTTATACTTATTAGATTAGGTCAAGATTAGGCTTATTTGACCAAAATTAAATATAATCATGCCTTGATTTTTAATTATTTAATTAAGACAGTAGGGTCTGACTTGGCTTAGACTAAAGTCTTGTCGCTCAACAGAAATAATGAACAGTATAGAATATAAAGTCAGGGTGCAGTAGAAAAAAAAAATATTGCTCCCATGAGCTTGGAGGACTGCATCCTTACATCTCTGCAATGACTCAAATAACTTTTAATAAAGTCATCTGGAATGGCAAAGAAAGCGCCCTAGCAGGACTCCCTGGGTTCATCAAGATTCTTTGGATTCATCTTCAGTGCCTCCTTCTTCATCTTACCTCCAACATGCTCAATAATGTTCATGTCTGATGACTGGGCAGGCCAATCCTGGAGCACCTTG